ATCTGGGGTGGGGGGGGAGGCTGGAGCCTCCTGTCGGCAGCTGCCGGCCCTCGGCAGCTGCCCCACCCCTGGGCCAGGGGGAGGATGGCACAGGCCCTGCCACTGTCCCCGCACGCAAAGCTCCCACATTGGGCGCGTCCCGGTGCCACCTCCTCAGCGAGGCCCCTACACTGGGCAGGGCGACTTGGGGGGTTGGGGGGGACATGCAGGGTCCGCAGGCCGGAACTGTCCCAGCCACCGGCACTGTTGACACAGGTGGCCTTCTGGGAGACAGACATCAAGCCAGCTTCTTTCCTGCCTCCCAGCCCGGCCCAGCCCCCAGGCGCCGTCGGCTGACAACAGGGCTTCTCCGGCCCCGCCCGGGGAACTGTGGGCCTGGGTGCCAAGGGCCCCTCCACCCACGCCGGGACCAGCCTCCGCCCGGAAGCTGGAGAAAGCTGGGCTCACCCAGGCTGCAACCAAAGGCGCCCTTCTCCCCTGCACCAGGCCAGGCTCCACATGGCAGCAGAATGGGGAACTGGTGCTTTCAGAGCTTCGGAGCTCTCCGGGGCTCCGTGCCAGCCAAGCTGGGGGCCTGCTCCCGGCCCAGACACACTCCCCACTGCCGTGGGCACCAGGGGGCATGGGGTGGCTGTGCAGGGGCCCTCCCCCCACCCTGCCCAGCTGTCCCCACTGCACTCTGGGCGTGCAGGTCAGTCAAAGGCCGCCCCCAGGGAGGGGGTACCGGGCGAGGCGGCAGAGGCCCATGGGGCCGGCAAGCTCCCTGCAGCAGAACCAAACAAGCTCTCTGCCTGGTCGGCAGGGGTCAGGCCTGTGAGGGGAAGGATGGGCACAAGCCCCCAGAGAAAGGGGAAATGCAGGAACCAGGACACACCTGTGGGTGCTGGCTCCACAAGCCAGCAGCCCCACCCCCCTTGGCCCCAGACCCCCATGTCACCCTGGTCACCTTGCTTGCCACCTCACTGTCTCCCAGGGGCAGCTCCTTCGAGGGAAGAAAAGGGCCCCCAGCCTGCAGCTCACGAGGGAGGGAGGGTCAGCCGGGGCTCAGCAGAGCTCAGAAGGGGCCCTGAACACCGGAACCCCGTGGAGACTGACACGCCGTGGAAGGCCCGTGGTAGTCCTGGCAGAGCCCGTCCCGGGTGGCGGGGGGGGGGGCACCATATGGCCCCTCCTGGGGCTGCCGCCCCCTGCTCAGTGCCTTCCACTCCAATCTCTTCCGCTCCACTCCCCTGGGTCGGGGCCAGCCCTGGGCTTCCTGCGCTCGGCCAGCTGCCAGACGGCCTGCGGGGGTCCCTTCAGGGGCTGCTGGGCTCGTGCCCACCCAGGCCTAGACCCGGGGCTGGCCAGAGCTGGGACGGAGGCGGGGATGGCCCCTTCTCTGCCTCCACTTCCTCACTCAGGGGCAGTGCTGCGTGGCCAAGGGGGTGGGGTGTGGGCTGGCTGGAGGGAGCCTGCCGCCGGCAGCTGGTCTCTAGGGGGCAGAAGGGCAACATGGGGTCCACTGAGGCAGGCGCCCCGCCCTGGGCAGCGCCAGCACCTGCTGGCTCTCGGCGGGAAGCCCCAGTGAGTCACTGGGGTGCGTCTCTGCTGGAGGCCCTGAGAGCACCGTGTGGAGGTTCTGGGGAACATGGGGTCCTTCGCTGTCCTGCAGACCCTGTCTGTGGTCCTTCTGCACCCACCTTCGGACAGGGGCACTCGGGCCACCCCAGCTGGCTGGCTCAGCAGGGCCTGCTGGGGCCCACTCAGGCTCAGCCCGGGGTGCCCCTGCCGCCGGGCCGACCGGTTGGAGCAGCCGCGCAGAGGAGGAGCAGCGATGCCTGGACTTGCCCGGCCCCCCCTGGGGCTCTCCACCCACGGCCCGGAAGTGGATCCCTCTCCCACGCCACGGCCCCCCCTTTGGTGGCTGGACATGGCTGGGTAATCCAAAATAATTCCTCCTGGCAGGCGGCCGGCGGGAGGGGACTCACATTCTAGACCCTGTTTGTCTCGGAGACGCCCCTCTCCCGGGGAGGAGGGCCCACCTGCAGCTCCCTGTGCCCTCGGCGGACCCCCTAGACCCAGTCCAGCCCCCACCAGGAGAGGCCCCCACCGCGGAGGGGGCATTGCCGCCTCCTGCCGCCTGTCCTGGGGAAGAAGTGCAACCCGAAGAGCAAGCACAGCTCTGCAGCCCCCAGGACCCAAACCATCTCCCTGATTTGGGGGTCCCGCCTCACCCCCAATCCTGACTCCCGCCCGGGCCTTGCTGGGTCCTACTTCCTTTCCCAAGTTTCTGGGAGGCCTATTGACGTGGCAGGAAACTTCGGGGCCCTTGGGCTTGGAGAATCTCCAATCTGTCAAGGACCCAGGGCCCCCCAGGGCCCCCCCAGGAGAGCTGCAGGAGCAAGACTCGCAGGGATGAGGGGCAGAGCCCGGGCACTGCGCGCACAGGCAGGCGCCCAGCCCGGCGCTGGGACTTCCGGGGACTCCGGCTGTCCCCCCAAACACCACTCCAGCAACAACACAAACAAGCGCAGCCCCCGCCCGCGGCTGCAGGCCCACGGGGGCGCAGGCCTGGGCCCCGGGGCTTCACGGCTCCCCGCGGGGGCGCCGGGGATCCCCACGCCCCCCGACGCGCAGCCCGCACCCACCTCCCAGCGCCATCAGGCCTGGACGCGGGCGCTCCGAGCGGTGGGGCCCGCGCCCGCCCCCGGGACCGCGGGGCGCAAGTCTGCGCTCGGGGAAAGTGCGGGCCTGGCGGGGGCCGCGCGCGCCCACCCGGCCCCGCGCGCCCACCCGGCCCCGCGCGCCCACCCGCGCCCCGCGCCCCGCGCCCGCGCTCGCCCCCGCGCACCGCCCTGCGCCCCGGCCCGGCCCCGGCCCGGCCCGGCCCGGCCCGGCCCGGCCTGGCCGCCCCCCGCGCCCCGCGCCCCGCGCGGTACCTGCACGTCCGCCGCCGCCGTTCGATGGCGCCCGGGCCGCGATCGGCGCTGCGCTCCGGCCCGCGCCGCTGCCATGGAGACCGGCCTTTGTGTGGCCGAGGAGGGGCCGGAGCGCGCGGGAGCAGCCGGCCCCGCCCCCGCCGGCGGGGAGGGGGAGGGGAGGGTGGGGGCGGGGGAGGGGCGGGGCCGCGGGGAGGGGCGCCGAGGGAGGGGCAGGGGCGCAGGGCGGAGGGGGCGGGCCGGGGGAGCGTGGGGAGGGGAGGGGAGGGGAGCGGGCACGGGCGGCCCGGGTCGCGCGGCCGGCGGGGTGTGGGGTGGCGGCCGTGCCCTGCGGTGCTGGGGCCCCGGGGAGCCCCAGCCGGGGGCCCGCAGCCTCAGGTTCCCTGTGCACCGTGCCGGCCCCCAGAGCCTGGCCCCACGACGGTGGGCGAAGGACGCTGGGGACCCCTCTCGCCCCAAGCTGCGGTAGGTAGGAAGGCCGGCGAGGACAGAGCGGTGGGGGCCCAGCGGTGCTTGTACCCTTCACCCCGAATCCCAGGTCCGGGTGTGGGGACGGCCACTAGGCCTGGTGCGGGCAGCAGCCAGCCGGGCAGCCAGAGAGGGCCCTGGGTGGGCACCCAGCTCAGCCCACGCCCCCACTCCCGACCTGCCTCAGGGGCGGGGACACAGGCCTCCTCGGGAGAGGCGGCTCCCCGCACCCCCCCAAACCAGTCTGGCCAAACTTTCACCCCTCAACCACATCCACACCACAGCCCGCCCGCCACCCACCGCACAGCACATCGCCGGATGCACGGGGCACCGACTATCGGAGAGGAAGTGCAGACACAGCAGCAGTGGTCCATGGTGTTTAATGCCCGACCGCGGGGAGGTCTGTCCCGGTTCAGAGGGCGTCTAAAACGAGCACAGGAAGCCTGGGCCCGACTGTCCTTCCTGTCCCCACCCGTCTCCCCGCTCAGCTGCTCCGGCACGTCCTTGCGCCTTTGCCGTGGGGACCCTCTGTCCCTGCTGCCACAAGCCGCACAGCGCCCAGAGCCGGCCTGTGGCATCCAAGCAGCTTGGGCCGGTGTGCCAGCCGCCAGCTCAGCCCAGGGGCACGAGAAGCAGCTGGTGGGAGCAGCCAGGCCCCCCGTCAGGTGCCCAGGGGAGGAGGCGGAGAAGAGGGGGCTTCCAGACTGTTCCAGACCGCTGGAGCCGCAGGTGCTTCTTGGAGGCCCCCCACAGCCCCTCCCCGTGGCGCTCAGCACATCACAGGCTGCAGCCCCTGAAAGCCAGGGGGTGGTCTCCGTTCCCGCATGCAGAGGCCCCCCGAGCTGCGGTCTCCCGCAGGAGTGGCAGCTGCATCTCTGAGCCCTGGTGAGAACCGGCCCGGAGGGGACGCTGCCATCCTGTGCCTATACAGGTCAGAGCGGGGCAGGCTGCCAGATGACTTGTGAACCAGGAGCTCGAGCCCACCCTCTGCACTGTGGACACCTGCCTGGCCACATCCTGCAGCTCTGCCATCCGTACTGGACCTGGCCGTGAGGCTGCAGTGGGGACAGGGACAGGCTTCCTGGCGGCAGTGGGGGAGACCGTTCCAGAGCTGGCTCTGGGCACTGCCACATGGGGACTTGGCAGGGCCAGTGTGGGGGTGGGTCTGGCCAGAACCCCTCCGGCAGCAGGTGGGCACTGCCCACTGGGCACGTCCAGGCGCCCCTTGCGGGGAAGCAGCAAGGTAAGAACCATCCTCCTGCCCAGGAGCCAGTGGGGTGCCCGGAGTGGACGCCCACGCCAGGGCTCACTTTGTGGCCAGGCACACACTGCCCCCTAGTGGCTCCCAGTAGACCACAGACTGGTCCAGGGAATGACCCAGGCAATCAGGGGATGGGCAGTGTGGTGCCTTGTCAGCTGCTCCTGCCCGAGGCTGCAGCCTGCTGGGATAATCATGTCTCGGCCCACAGGGCTGGGCAGGCGGCTTGGGCCAACAACACTGCGGCAGACGGGGGTGCAGGGAATGAGGCTCTGGGCAGCGTGTCGTTGGCCACTACTCGGGGCCAGGCTGTGGTTTTGATGCCACCTTTACTGCGGAGACAGTGCTGGGCTGGGATGGCAGGGGAGAGCCAGTGAAAGGGCTCACGCGCTGAGGGAAGCCGAGCACACCAGGAGCCCCTAGGCCGGGCAGAGGACGGCCTGCAGGTCCTTGGGCAGGGAGCCCACGACCGTGTCGATGTACAGTTTTGCCCGCTGCAGTGTGGCCACCGTCACGGGCAGCTGGTGGCCCTGTGCCCGCACCTGCAGGACAGGGGTGGTGGTCGGGGCAGGAATCAAGGGACACCAGGGTCAGGAGGGAGGGCAGAACAGGAGGGGCGGCAGGACGGGGGGGCGGCAGGACAGGGGCCCAGGGACACGCACACTCACCAGCTTCTCTCGCAGCTTCAGAACCAGGTCAACGATCTCCACCTCAGACTTGTCCTTCATCCAGTTCTCAAGGTTCTGCTGGGGACAAGGGCTGTGCAGTGGACCTGTGCCCTGGACACCCCCCGGCCCTGCCCTCTGAGCCCTGTAAGCAGCTGACCCCTGCACCCCTGCCCCTAGCGTGCAGTGCCCTACGGCCCCATCTGAGGCTGAGCCCTTACCGCCTCGCAAATGGCCTCGAGGTGCAAGGCCTCCAGTTTCTGGGTCATTTCCCGGTGCCGCTGCCGGAACCAGCCATCGAAGTGGGGAGACTTGAAGAAGCGCCTGGCGAGGGGGGCGGAGGATGTCGGCTGGGGTGCACGGAGGGCACAGGCGGTCAGCATGTAAACCCGCAGCCCGCACCCACCTGTAGAGGCCCCTCCAGTCGCCCTTGAGGACGCAGGTGAGCTGGGGCCCCGCCTGCTCCAGGCTGCGCAGAAAGTCGTCCTGGAGGAAGGGCCCGATCTGCGGGGGAGTCTGAGAAGGCGCGGTGAGCCCGGGAGCCCGCGGGACAGACGGAGGGGCTCTGCCCCGCCTGCCTGCCCTCCTGGGCCCTGCCCTGGACCCACCTTCCAGGGCACGACGCTCTTCTGCAGGGGCATGAGGCTGGCCATATAGTGCTCCTGGGGATGAGGCGGGAGTTAGCCTAGCACAGCCCCCCGCCCACCCCCGCAGTCTGCCCCCCTCCCGGCCCGGGGCTCACCAAGGGGAAGATGAAACTCTGCGTGAGCTCCAGCAGGTGGCGCCTCAGCAGCGCCGACAGCACGTCCGATGACCGCTTCTTCTGCAGGCCCTGCGGCAGGGGGCGCTGCTGAGCCCGCCGGCCCCGCCTTCCCGCCCACAGGCCCCGCCCCTCCCTCCCGCAGGCCCCGCCCCTCCCTCCCGCAGGCCCCGCCCACAGCCTTACCTTGAGCAGCCGTCGCAGCAGCGCCTTGTCGCGGTGCAGGTGTGCGGTGTACGCAGTGTACAGGCCTGCGGGAGGGCAGAGCTAGGGCAGAGCTGCGGTGGGCTGGCTGCCTCCACGCCCACCAGGCCTCCCCGCGGCGGGTGGTCCCCGGGGCCAGCACCTGGCTTAGTGTCCAGGGTCTTCAGCCTCGAGCGCTTTTTCAGCTTGACCTGCTTAGGCAGGTCCCCTAGAAGGCATGTGGCAGCGCCTCAGTGCTGACCCCAGGGATCTTCACCACTGAGCCTGCAGCGTCCACCCCCCTCCTGGGCCCCACCTCACCTGCAGTCCCACCTCCCAGGATCCCTCCTCTGGGGACCCCTCTCCGACCCCTCCTCACGGGACCCCCTCCTCCCATGGCTCCACTTCCCAGGACCTGTCCTCTGGCGGGTGACCCCTCTCTGGTCCCTCCTCCTGGAAATCGTCCTCGGGGGACTCCTCTCTGACCCTTCATTCCTCCCTGGTCCCTTCCTCTGGGGACCCCTCGGCCCTGGCGCCCTCTCCATCCCTGGCTCACCTGACATCTTGGGCTCCCCAATGCGGAGGATGTGGGGCCAGTGCTGGAGTGTTTTGATAAAGAAAGGGTTTGTGACTCCCAGGACCACGTTTGGTCTAGAGAGAGAAAGAGAGAGAGAGACAGGGAGGAAGGGAGAGAGGGAGAGAAGAGGCCGCGGCCGGGTGGGGGACGGGCGGGCAGGGGCGGCGCCTACGGGGCCTGGGTGCGCGTGGTGAACTCCTTGAACTCGCTGTCATGGATGGTGAAGTAGGGCCGGAAGTCACAGCAGAACTTGAGCGGCTGCAGGCAGCTGTGGAGGACAGCGGGGGCGTGAGGGCAGGCACAGGGCTGGCCGCAGCCCCCTCACCCCCACCCCGCACCCACCTACCTGCTCAGGGCCAGCACCATCTCGGAGGACGCAGCTGGCGAGGGCGCCAGTACCAGCAGGGGCTCCCCCAGGAGCAGCAGCTCCCACAGGGTCTGCACATGGGTCAGCACGGACTGGAAACACCTGGGCAGGCAGAGCAGAGGGCCTCAGCACCCCAGGCAGGCAGCAGCCCCTTCAGACAGAGCCTTCCAGAACCTTCCTCCCATGCGCCCTGAAAGGTTCTGTCTTCCTCCCCCACCACCCCTGACGGGCAGGGCAGCACCGCCCAGTGGGCAGCTCACCGAAACAGGTCTAGCTCATGGGCGCTGCTGAGGACCACAGGCGCAGGCAGCAGGTCCTGAAGAGGGGGTGGGGGTGGCCTGAGCACAGAGCTGCTGCTCAGGAAGGCTCAAGGACACAGCAAGCCTCCCTTCCCCTGGTCTCTCGCCCTCCCCGGCAGGCAGGAGGGAGGGAGGGCGGGAGGGAGGGGTGAGTCTGTGAGTGCCCAGCCTGGTGCTCCACCTCGTGGCACTGCTGCTCCAGAGGGCTGCATTCGGGCTTGTCCGCCCTGGACGGGATGCGCACCTGTGGGGCAGAGGCCACTGCATCTGGGGGCCGGCGCTGCCAGCCCCTGGGCTCCCGCCAGCCGGCACCTCACCTGCAGCACCACTCCCAGCACCGGCAGGTTCAGGGTCTGCCCCGGAATCGGGGCTGGCCACTGGTCAATCTCGTTGCACACTGCGGACACGAGTGGGAGGTCACGCAACCCCAGGCAGGGCTCGGTGCTGGCCCCCTGGGCAGCCACCGTGGGGAGCCCCACGCAGAGGCCCCTTACCTGCTTCCAGGCAGGGCGCCAGCTTGTCGAAGTACTCGGGGGCCATGAGGCCCAGAAGCGTCTGGAACAGCCGGACCAGGGGCAGGCGGGAGAGCAGAACCAGAGACTGCGGGTGCAGGCAGCGAGATGCCCTCGGGCCTCAGGAACCCGCAGGGGCACCCCGGGCGGGAACACCCCAGGTTGGCGCTGCCCCCAGGAAGGTGCTCAGGTAGTTGCTGCTAGTCTCTGGGTCACACTCAGCGGTGCTCGGGGCTTACTCCTGGCTCTGAGCTCAGGGATCTCTCCAGCTGGGGCACGGGGGACCCTATGTGGTGCTGGGGATTGGGCTGGGGCACTGCGGGTGAGGCGGGCACCTTCCGGGCTGTCCTATGGCTCTGGCCCTCTGCCACGTTTCTGAGCTGAAGCAAAAGCATGCCCAGGGGCGGGACTGAAGGTTCCAGCACTGTGCCGGGTCAGCAGGGGGCGCCAGCGATTCCCAGGGAGAGGGGCACGTGCACCCCCCACCCCATGCCATCCCACCAGGCTCTGCTCTTGGAAAATGGGCCCCACTTGGTGCCAAGAGGTGGGGGTGTCTGGTGACTCACACCCCAACAGGGTCCTCAGCCCCCCACCGCGCACTGGTCCCCACCTTCTGGAAGTAGCCCCTCTGCACGGAGCTGTCCCGCACCTGCCGGGAGTACACGTAGCCGAAGTAGTGCGCAGGCTCCCGCTGTAGGGGATGAGAGCCGTGACCTGAGGGTCCCCCCCACCCCCTGACTGACAGTCCCCGTGTCCCACCCCACCCCCTCCCTCTCAGGCAGGGCCGAGCGGCTGCAGAAGGAGGACGGGCTGCTCGGGCAGTCCCAGGCAGCCACCCCTGCGCTTGGGGAAGCGGCCCATGACCAGGGCAGCCCCTCAATGGGACCAGCTGGGCAGAGCTGTGGGTCACAGCGTGGAGGGCAGCGAGCACTGGGAGGGATGTGCTGGTCTGGGTTGCTGAGCCTGACCACTGGCTGGGCCACACGGAGAAGGGAGCGGAGTGCCAGCCCCCACCCCACAGTACTGGCCTGAGGGATCCCTCTGCTCACAGCCGCGAGCTTGGCCCCATGGGGCCACCAGGGGCTGCTTTCCCCTGCATGGGGAAATGCTCACCTGCAGCCACGTGGGGACCCCGCTGTCATAGCCTCTGTCCTCAGAGTGCCATGGGGTCCTGGGCCCTCCACACTGGCGAATGCGGAAGCTGAACTGGGTGTCCCCAAGGCAGCCTGGGGTGAAGCAGACCCCAGGTGTCAGGGCTGGGGTCCTAGCAAGGGCCCCTTGAGCTGGGCTGGGACATGTTGCAATGCCCTGGCCCAGAGCTGCGTACCCTAACTGTGGATTTCCCCTGGTGCCCACTCATTCAGCATTCAGGAACTGCCACCCACCCGACCCTGCGGCCCACCCAACTGTCCAGGGCAGTGGCACCTGGATGACTCAGCCCTTGGCCACAGGCCCCGCCCTCAGCGCTGCCAGGCAGGGACCCTACTCCTGGCATTCAGGTCCCGCCCCTGTCAGTCAGGCCTCCACCCACTACTTCGTGCCCCGCCCACGTCCTCTGGCCCCGCCCACGTCACTGTCAGAGCCCGCCCCCTGTCAGTCAGGTCTCCACCCACCTACTTCCTGCCCCGCCCTCAGCGCGGTCAGGCTCCACCCCTCCTGTCAGGCCCCGCCCACATCCTCCGGCCCCGCCCTCATCACTGTCAGGGCCCATCCCCTGTTAGTCAGGCCCCAACCCACCAACTTCCTGTCCTGCCCTGCCCTCAGTGTAGTCAGACCCACCTCTCCTGTCAGTCTGGCTCCGCCCTCATCACTACGGACCCGCCCCCTCCTCTGGCCCCGCCCTCATCAGTCAGGGCCCATCCCCTGTCAGTCAGGCCTCAACCCACTAACTTCCTGTCCCGTCCTCAGCGTGGTCAGGCCCGCCCCTTTTGGCAGTCAGACCCCGCCCACTGCCAAGTGGGCCCCGCCCACTGTCAAGAGGCCCCGCCCTCACCAGGGTCCGGCCCCCATCCCGCCTTGCGTGGCACCTACCTGAGTGGGAGTCCGGGAAGGACAGGTAGCAGATGCTGCTTTTCTGAAACACACGAGAGGCAGTGAGAGCCAGCTCACTCCTGGGGTGCGGCTGCTCCCGAGGGGGCCGGGACCCACCTCCTTGTCGGTGAGGCGGCAGTCGCTGGGGTACACGAGCTGCAGGACAAGAGCGCTGGCTGAGGACAGGTCACAGCATCCTCTCCTCCCTGGGCACGCGGCGGGCATGCCCCTCTGCCCCGCACCTGCCCACACCGCTCGGGGTCCCAGAGCTTGCGGGCCTCCACCTGCCAGTCTGCTGCCTGTCCCGCCCTCCCGTCCCTGACAGCGGCATCCACGCCCCAGCAGCATGGTGGGTGTCCGGAAGCTCCTGGCCTGCAGTGTATGCCTAGGACAGCCTGTGGCCCTGCTCCACCCAACCGTATGACACCTGCGGTCAGGGAAAGGCTGGCAACCTGGCAGCTGTACCCAGGCAGGGCCGGAACTCCCTATACAACACCAACCAGACAGGGCCAGCGGTGTTTCCCAGGGCATGGGTCTGCCTGATGCCCCCATGGTACCAAGGCGGGCTGTTTGGTAGAGTAGGTTGCCCAGGACCTGCATGTGGCTCCCCACCTGCACGGGCTGGACGTCAGTAGAACAAGTGACTCCCGCCGTGCAGGAACCCCAGTGGTGACCTTGGACTGGAGGGACCTTTATCTGTGCCACAAACCAAAGGCCTCTGGGGACGGGGCTGCCCCTCCCCCCCACTCCCACTCTGCTCAGCTGTTTGGGGACCCAGTCGCACAGGGTGAAGTTGACATGACCACTCAGCCTGGACGAGTGAGTGACTCTAGGACTGGCCTTTCAAAGTGGGGCTCGGAGGCTGAACAGGGTTCCAGGGGCTGGTGCAGGTTTTGCATGTAGGAGGCTCGGAGCCCCGAACACCACCAGGAGAGACTCCTGAGCACAGAGCTGGAAGGATCCCTTAAGCAGCACCAGGTGTGGGTCCAAAGGTCAAAGCTGCCTTCTCCACACTCCTCCTTTCCTCTTTCTCTTCTTTAGTTGTGTGGTGCCAGTTGCTGTGCCTCAGGGTTGCTCCAGGTCCCACCCACTTCCCTGCCTCCACTCTGGGGAGCTGGCACTGCAGACCACCAGCTGCTTCTGCTGGATCAGGAGTCAGCATTGTCACTTTTTTTTTCTTTTTGGGTCACTCCTGGCTCTGCACTCAGAAATTACCCCTGGTGGTGCTCAGGGGACCATATGGGATGCTGGAAATCAAACCCGGGACGGCCGCGTGCAAGGCAAACTCCCTTCCCACTGTGCTATTGCTCCAGCCCTAGCCCCTCATGGTCACGCTTTGTTGCTCAGTTTCATTCGAAGAAATACAGTGCTTTGCAGAGAAGCAATGCATCAGTCCATGGGGCTCTGTGCCTTTCCATGAGACGTCAGAAAGTGGCCTCTCAACTCCAATGCCTGGATGGTAAATGTTGATGGAAGCTTCACAAATGACTCTGGAGGTTCTCGGCTGTGCCTGAGACAGGACGGGCCCCGAGACAGCCTGCTGGCTGCGGGGGCCGACTAGGGGTGGCAGGATGGGAGGATGGAAGGGGCTCTGTGACCCTTCAGCCGAGATCCAACCAGCAGGCTCCCCAGACCCGCTGGGATCTGAGGAGGTTCCAGGAGCAGAGGTGGGGGAGCCAGACCCTTCCCAACATCCTGCAGACTCCTGAACCCACGGCGTCCCCACCCACTCAAGCCTGGCTCCTGCCTCACATGTAGGAAGGGGCGCAGGAAGTGTCTTCTGCGGGGATCCCTGTCACTCTCAGGGGGTCCCTGGCACAGGATGATCGTTCTGGCTGTGCTGTGTCCCAGGATGGAATAGGGCTGGGCTCTCATCGCTCTCACTGCAATGAGTGCACGTGAGCAGATGCTCTTCTGCTCTTCACTGTGGGGACTGTTCCGTGACCCAGTCCCTCTTCCTTGGTTGTGTGCAAAGACTCCTAAACTCTCCCTCAACTGTGATCTTTTTATTTTTTTGGCAAACCTGTTGCTATTCAGGGGCAACACTTGGCTTGGCCTAGGAGCAGGAGTCACTCCCAGTGGTGTTAAGGGACCACAGGGGGCAGGGCAAGGAGGTGGTGGTGATGAGGATTGAACCCAGGGTTTCAAATCGCAAAGCAGGAGCTCCAGGCCTCAGTCCCCATCTTTCAGCATCTGGTCAAACTGCCTTCCTTCCTCTGGTCTGCATCTGTACATGAAGTCTCTATGAGTCCTAAGCGCCTGCCCCAGGGTCCCCCAAGACCCTTCCTTGCACTGCCCAGCCTCAGAAAAGACTCAGGAGCCCAGGTACACAGAGCCTCTATCAATACTAGCTTAGAATTCACTTTCTGAATGGCCGTACCATTCAAAAAATTATATGCGAATGCCTTAAGAACCAATCTCTTGGCAGTGCTGAAGAGACAGTATAATGGCATGGCACTTACGCACCTTGCACGTGACCAACCCGGGATTTGATCCCTGGCAGCACATAGGGGCCCCCAGCACTGTCAGGTGTGACTCCTGAGAACAGAGGCAAGAGCCTTACCTCCCGAACTAATCCCTCTGACCCACCAACCCTGGGATGATTCTCGGCACTGCATGTTACCCTGAACATGAGGACCTGTCGGGGGTAGAAGAGTGACCAACCACTACCGGCTCCCACCCCCGCTACCCCCCCTTGCCAAAAAGGGGGGGAAAAAGCAAAGAAACAGTTTCCTAATCGCTTGTGATTGGATAAGAAAGAATTTGGAAAAGAGTAACAATGTCAGCTTTGTGACCTGGGCAAGTCAAGTGGGGATGTGACCAAAGCACCTTTGGGAGGGCTGCAGTTCCTGTGTGTGCTGAAGTCCACTTCAGCCCCATGGGCAGCTCATGCCTTTCATGCACAGAAGCTCCCTATCTAGATGGACCCAGCTTCATCTACACCTGGTGCTGGGGGAAGGGGCCTGCCGGAGGTGGGAAACGCCAAGTGAGGTGCTAATGAATGGGAGGGCCACCAGCTAGGTAGCTTGGGTGGGAAAGCAGAGACAGATTTCTGTTTGGAAACATCTAGAGTGCCTCTCTGGAGTTTTTCCAGTCCTGCTGGGCAGTGGCAGTGTTCACTGTTGGCTCCTGCTTGTCTGGATAGACCACCCACCAGTTTTCAGTGCTTGGGGGTGGTTTCCATTTTTATTTTTTTTGGTCACAGCCAGCAATGCTCAGGGGTTGCTCCTGGCTCTGCACTCAGGAACTACCCCTGGCGGTGCTCGGGGGACCATATGGAATTCTGGGAATCGAACCTGGGTTGGTCGCGTGCAAGGCAACGCCCTACCCGCTGTGCTATTGCTCCAACCACAACCCCTGGTTCCCATTTTTGCAGAGAATCCAGGCTGGCTTGGGTGCATGCAAGGCAGGTCCCTTAAGCTCTCTACTGGTTCTTCAACACCCCCTGAGGGTATCTCGGGTGTGTGTGTGTGTGGGTGGTGTAATCGTGTGTGTGTGTGTGTGTGTGTGTGTGTGTGTGTGTGTAAGAGAGAGAGCGCGCCACACCCGGTCTTATCTTGGTTCAGAGCTTAGGGACCACTCCAAGCAGGGTCCAGGAACCATATTTGGTTGCAGGGATGGACCCTTGCTGGCCCGTGCAAGACAAGCACTCTCCCCACTGTATTAGCTTCAGGGTCCAAGAGCATTACCCTGTTCCCCTCCCTACCAATGGGAAGTCCTGGCAACCTGTCCCTACTTCTTCGGAGAGGAGGCACACCTGAGCACTCAGCCCTGGGGAGGGGTCCGCCCTCCCCTCTAAGCTTCGCCCCTTAACGCCCACCCGCCCCTCACCAGACCTCTCCCCCTGGCTTCCAGCCCCGCCCTCCACGTAACTCCGAGATCGCCCCGCCCCTCAGGCCCCGCCCCCGGCTTCCGGCACCGCGCTATCATTTCCCGGCCCCGCCCCTCGCAGGCCCCGCCCCAGCTTCCGGCACCGCGCTATCCCCTCCCGCCCCTTCTCAGCTCCCGCCCCTTTGCTCGGCCCCGCCCCGACTTCCGGCACAGCCCGCCTCACCCTGGCCCCGCCCCCTGCCTCCTGGCCCCGCCCCGGCCCGCTCACCTCCAGCGCCTGGCCCAGCTCCAGGTCGAAGGTGACCACGCACACGCACTCCAGCCAGGCCGAGAAGCGCGCCCAGGGCGCCGCCGGGTCCGGTGCCCCCGAGGAGGCCGTGCCGGCACGGCTGCGGGCCCGCAGAGGCTCGGCGCCGCTCGGCACGTCCATGGCGGCTGCGGCGGCCGGCCGTGCGTTGCCGGGGGAACCGCTCGCCCGGGCGACGGCCTGGGCGTGCGTGGCCACAGCGCCGCGAAGCAGTCGAGCTCCGGCCACGGGCGGCCAGAGCGGCCGCGGGGGCGCCCCCTGGCGGCGGGAGGAGCGCGCTGCGCCCGGCTCGCCACGGAGCCGCGGCGGGCAGCAGGGACGCGCGGGTGCGGGACCCGCGACCTGCCCACTCGGCTGTCGGCGCCCCCGTGCGGGGACCCGGGTCCGCCGGGCACGGGTCAGCTCTCCTCGCGCCGATGCGTGGCGACCCGGCCGCGGGTCCTCGCCCTTGGGCCCCCGAGCCTTCCAGCGCCCCCCGGGCCGCCTCCGGGCAGCACCCGAGGCGTTTCCGCGAGTCCCCCCAGCGCCGCCCGGCTGACCCGGAGCTGAGCTAACAATCGTTGCGGGGTGACAGGTTATTCGAGAAGTCTCCGACGCACTTGTTCGCCTATTTGAAGAGCCTATTAGCAGCAACCTGCAGGGGCTGCCGAGCCCGAGAGCCGGGGTCTCAGCGGACCCAACAGCCCCCAGTTTGTCCAGGAGCTTTATACATTCTTACCACGTCCTCCTGGGCGGCATCCGTCCCAAGTTAAGCAAACAAGCATAGTACAGAAGTCAGACTGTGCACGCTTAGCCTGGAACGGTTCAGGACTTTTTTGCTTGGGGGTCGCAAAGGCAGTACAGCAGGTAGGGCGTTTGCCTTGCAAGCGCCCCCCCACCCCAAACCGCGCACTCCATTCGGTTCCCTGAGCATTGCCCGGAGTGGTTCCTGAGTGCCAAGCAGGAGTAACCCTGAGCACTGACAAGCGTGTCCCAAACCTCTCCCCCCCCCCCTCCCAAAAGGGGAAGAACTTTTATGCAGGTTGTTCTCCAGGCATCCGGTCCCTGGAGCATCTTGGAGCGTCTCACCTCCAAGCGTCTCACCCTGGAGCGTCTCACCCTGTTTCCAAGCTGCTTTTCTGCTAACTTTGGGTCGCCTCATCGCATAATGTGGTATCTTCTGATGATTCTTAGCAACGAAACAAGCTAAGCTCCCAATGCAGGCACTGTTGGCTCCTGTTTGGCCGGGTAGACCACCCACCAGTTTTCAGTGTCTTTTACACTCGTGCATAGGCTGGTGGTATACTCATCTTCCTCTCTCTAACCACACCTCTGGAGCACTGCAGCCTCTTGCTCAGAGGCAGGGGAAGGATGAATGCCGACTTTTGGATTTCCGTACTCTGGCCTGAAGTCAGATATGCCACTGCACATGGTCTGCCATCCAGTGTTGGATATTAATCCTAAGCGTTTTAGGCTTCATCAGTGAATTGCCCCTTTTTCCTCCTCCCAGAGAAGCTTATCATGCCCTTGCAAGCATCCCCAACTTAAAGTTTATCTTTGACTTTTCCTTTGTATTTTACCTCTCATTGTCACAGTTCCCCCAGTGAGTCTTGATTACTTATAAGCCCAAACGTTGTGGTAATTCTGTGCTTCGTATTTGAAGTACTGCGTATTGGTACTTACTTTTCTATTTCCCCTATAGCCTTTTTATATTTTACTATAGAGCAATGTTCTTTGGTTGAACACAGAAACACCATTAATGCTATGCTCCTGATATTTGGGAGTTGATTGACTCTGAAATATATTTACTCCTGGGCATAATTACTTGGTCATAATTACTTGACTCAGGCTTCAGTTGCTATAGTTCCTAATAACACCCCAAAAAGGAGGCCCTGCCACGGGACGGGGATGGACCTGGGATGAGTGACAAAGCTACCCTGGCATGGAAATGGGACATTCTATAAAGCATAAGTGTATGGTCTTGATGCAAGCTGTTGTGACTTAACAGACAGGATCCCCATGGGGAAGGACAAGCTGAATGGCCTGAGGACTTGGTCTGGGATTTATGGTAAAAGCCTTGTTTGCTCTCAGAGCCCAGAGAACTACATACAACTAGAGGGAAAGATAAAAGATAAAAGCGATGTAGATATCCCTGAGAGACAAAGTAATCTCCTCAAAAGAGAATTTCCTACCTTTTATCTATGTAAATAATCTACATAAATTTCTAGATGTCTTACCTATGTAAATGATCAATCACACCTATGTCCTTACCTCAACCCCCTCAGATCTTCTATAAGTATGTTAACCGCTTTGCATTAAACCATTTTCACCATCAGGCTGTGGTCCTCCGTCTCTCCGTCTCTCTGTTTCTCTGCTGGGGAGGCCTGGGGAGGACGGGGTGTGGCTCAGGGTCACTGAACGCACACGTGTGCTGTTGTAGCACCTGCATTTTACTTTGTGAACTCACAACTGCCCTCACCTTTCTTTCTTTGCCTTTTGGGTCATGCAAGTGTTTCTTGGGGCTCACTCCTGCTGGGACCGAGGGAACCGTATGTGGTGCTGGGATATAGGAAAATGCCCTCACTGCTGTACTATCTCTTGGGCCCACACTCTTTTTTGTCTTTTGCTCCTAGCAGGGCTAGGGGGACTGTGTGGTGCTGGGATCAAACCATCAAACCATGACCTCCTTCCAGCAAAGTCTGCACTTAAGCCTTTGAACTCTTATTCCTGTAAATGTAAATAGACTTTGTTTATTTTCCTGTTGGGGGACAACTCTATTATGTTAGTTATTATACATAAAACTGAAAATCCCTGGGTCCAGGGACGTGGCTGCAACCCTAGTTCAAATACACAGACTGCATATGGTCTTCTGAGTACTTCCAGGGTCACCCCTTAGCACAGAGCCAGGAATGGCCTCTGTGCATCGCCAGGTGTGACCCAAAAAGAAAAAAAAATTGAAGATCCCAGGCCAGAGTGATAGTACAGCAGGTAGGGTATTTCCCTTGCATGCAGCCAACCCGAGTTCAATCCCCGGCATCCCATATGATTCCCCAAGCACCACCAGGAGTAATTCCTGAGTGCAGAGCCAGGAGTAACCCCTGAGCATCACATGATCCAAAAAGAAAAAAAAAAACAGGGCTGGGGAGATAGCACAGTGGATAGGGTGTTTGCCTTGCGTGTGGCCGACCCGGATTTGACTCCCAGTGTCCCATAGGGCAGTGGGTAGGCCACTTGCCCTCATGCAGCCCACTCAGGTTTAATCCCCAGCATCCCATTTGGTCCCCCAGAACTGGCCTACCAGAACTGGTCTCTGAAGTGATCCAGGACTAAGCCCTGAGGACTGCTGACTGTCTCAAAACCAAAAATAAAAATTTTTAAAAAGTGGTGTTTTAGAGATGTGTACAGAGACGTTGTTCTTCCATAGAGCTCCCTGAGAGGTCACGCCTGGCCAGGGGGTGGCAGGAGCTGGAATGGAGAAACCTAGAGATGAGCCTCTGTATCTGAATGCCTGTGTGAACAGAGCCACAAGCAGAAGGCCAGAGTCATTCTGCCAAAAGGGTCATGCTGAATTTGGAGCTGAGGGGCAGTAACGACCACTAATGGAACAAGTTGTCTCTTGTTTTGGTGGTGAGGGTCACATCCTGAAGTGCTCAGGGACATTCCTGGCTGTGCTCTGGAATGACTGTGGTGGTACTGGAGGACCATATGCGGTCATAGGGATTTGGATTGATAGGATTGAGTCCCAGGTGAACTAGTTTAACGGGCCATTTAAAATTTTACCTGGGGCTGGAGTGATAGCACAGTGGGTAGGGTGTTTGCCTTGCATGTGGCCAATCTGGGTTCAATTTCCAGCATCCCATATGGTCCCCCGAGCACTGCCAGGAGTAATTCCTGAGTGCAGAGCCAGAAGTACCGCTGTGTATCGCTGGGTGTGACCCAAAAAGAAAAAAAAAAAACACCTGCAATAAAGGTCTCCACTCCAAATAGACAAGGGGATGTCTGGGGGTGGGAGGTAACAGGTAAAAGGTAGCCTCCCCAGGCAGCACCCTCTCTTTGCCCCCTCACCTATGCCAGACAGGTGACAGGACAGCTGGGATCTCACCCGTATGCATGAGGCCATGGCCAGAGACTTGAGGAAAACGGAGGGAACAGGGAACTGCTGGGGCACAGTCTGAGAGGCCTACCAATAGGTCACAGACCAGCAAGGCATGTGGTGGAACGTATCACAAGGTTCTTAACCCCTGCAGCCTCTCTGGGCCCCAAGACAGTGTTCTGTTCTGTTTCTTTTTCCAATACTTCCCCATAGCTCACACTGGCACAAGAAGTCACTGTCATTGTCCTCCTGTTGTTCATCGATTTGCTCGAGCGGGCCCAGTGATGTCTCCATTGTGAGACTTCTTGTTACTGTGTTTGGCATATCGAATATGCCACGGGGAGCTTGCCAGGCTTTGCCGGGCAGGCGAGATACTCTTGGTAGCTTTCTGGGCTCTCCGAGAGGGGCGGAGGAATTGACCCTGGGTCGGCCGGGTCAGCTGCGCGCAAGGTAAACACCCTACCCTCTGTGCTAAATCACAAAAATCTGTGGTGAGAAAAAGGATGCAAGCCTTGAAGGTGTCTTGACCATCTTTCCTTTATTGCATTCCTCTCCGGTAGGAAGAGACCCAGTGAGACCGTGAGGCCATCCTCAGGATCTCCGAGTAAGTTTGCGTCACTCACGTTAGGCTAAGTCATTCCCTCCTTCCAGGTGTGACCCTTCAAAGACAAATGTTCTTTGTTTTGTGTTTTCTACAACACTGTGTTTCTCTTAAAAATTAATACATCTGCATCCTAATTTTTCAAATAACAAAAGGTTAAATCACAAGAAAATGAACAGGATGACTATTTGAAATCACCCAAACTGGTTTTAGTATCAGTAAGGTAAAGGTAAAGGTAAAGGCCCTCCCGTTGATCATCGATTTGCTCGAGCGGGCCCAGTAACGTCTCCATTGGAGACTTTGTTGTTACTGTGTCTGGCATATCGAATACTCTCGGTAGCTTGCCGGGCTCTCCGAGAGGGGCGGAGGAATCGAACTCGGGTCAGCCATGTTGGCTGCGTGCAAGGCAAATGCCCTACCGCTGTGCTATTAGTATCAGTAATAAACTTAATAATTACATTATTAAACTTACTATTATAAAGTCCCTGTTTGGAAAGAACAAATTATTCCCTTTAAAGGTTTTTTTTAAGATTAGTTTTATAGCTAAATTTATTTGTAATTAGTAAAAGCAAACATTAATACAACCAAATGCAAGAAAATATGAACAATTTTTTTAGCCAGTTGACAGATCTGATTCTGGTTTCAGATGTCACAAGAACTGTTATTAGAATGGAATACTATGCAGCTGTTAGAAAAGATGAAGTTATGAAATTTGCATATAAGTGGATTGACATGGAGAGTATCATGCTAAGTAAATGAATCAGGAAGAAAGGGAAAAACATAGGAAGATTGCACTCGTTTGTGGAATATAACGTAACAGCATGGGAGATTTAGACCCAAGGATAGTAGAGAAGAAACTCATTTTAGAGAACCCTTTGAACTGTTTCCAACAAATATTCATGTACAAAACTGCAGCAACCTGGAAAAGCAGCGAGTACCAGTGGCCATTAGGAAACAGGGCTGGATGGGGACAGTCCATGGGCAGCAGGTGGCTGACATTGGCTGTGACCACCCCTGAGGTACACTGTAGAGGCGTTTAGCCACAGAGGAAGGTCCAAGGGAACCCCGTGTAAGTAAAGGACCTCAGATCCTAACAGATCTCCAAAGTACTGTTCTGTTGCCGGTGTTGCATTGGAAACTTTATTACCCCATAACAAAAGTGAATCGCGCTTAATTTATCAAACACTAGGGTGAAGCAAAAGAGAAGCCCGCACCCTACTATTACCTGCGCCCAGATTGCTCTCACCTTCTGTGGGCACCTCTCTGGCACCACGTGAGCGCGGCCCCGCCCCGCCCTTTGCAGCGCGGCCCCACCCCTGCCCTCCCTCCCGCCGCGCTCTAAGTCCCGCCCCACCATGACCTCCTCAGCGAGTCCCCGCCCCTTCCCCGCCCACCGCAACGCTAGGCCCCGCCCCTCCCTGCACGCCCCAGTGAGGTCCCGCCCCTTCCCCGCCTACCGCAGCTCTAGGCCCCTCCCCGTCCTGCGCGATCAGAGAGGCCCCGCCCCTTGCCCCTCCCGCCGCAGCACTAGGCCCAGCCTCATTCTGCCCATCCAGGTGAGATCCCGCCCCTCCCCGCCCGCCGCAGCGTCAGGCCCCGCCCCTCCCCGCCCGCCGCAGCGCCAGGCCCCGCCCCCCCGCCCGCCGCTGGTCTAAGCCACGCCCCACCTGCCCTCCGCAGCGCGGCCCCGCTCCTTCCTCCTCCCACCGCAGCTCTAAGCCCCGCCCCATTCTGCCCGCCTCAGCGAGGCCCCGCCCTTCCCCGCCCGCCGCAGCGCCAGGCCCCGCCCCCCCGCCCGCCGCTGCTCTAAGCCCCGCCCCACCTGCCCTCCGCAGCGCGGCCCCGCTCCTTCCTCCTCCCACCGCAGCTCTAAGCCCCGCCCCATTCTGCCCGCCTCAGCGAGGCCCCGCCCTTCCCCGCCCGCCGCAGCGCCAGGCCCCGCCCCATCCTGCCCGCCTCAGCGCGGCCCCGCTCCTTCCTCCTCCCACCGCAGCGTTAAGCCCCGCCCCATTCTGCCCACCCCAGTGAGACCCCGCCCCTCCCCGCCCGCCGCTGCTCTAAGCCCCGCCCCATCCCGCCCGCCTCAGCGAGGCCCCGCTCCTTCCTCCTCCCACCGCAGCGCCAAACCCCGCCCCATTCTGCCCGCCCCCGCCAGGCCCCGCCCCTCCCCGCCCGCCGCAGCGCCAGGCCCCGCCCCGTCCTGCCCTCCGCAGCGCGCGCGGCCCCGCCCGGTCCTGCCCCCGGCGCGCGTGCGCTCGGCCCCGCCGCCGCCATTTTGGAGCGACCCGAGCGCCGCCGCGGCCCGTTCGGGTCCCGAGCCGGTGCGAGCTGGTCCGAGCGGGTCCCGAGCCGGCCCCACGCCTCCGGCCGGCCCGCGCGTGTCAGTGGACGCGGCGCCCGGCCGGCCCATGTGCGTGCGGCCAGCCCCGCCGCCCGGGCTTCGCCGCCGCCCGCGCCCTGGCCCCCGCCGGGCCTCAGAGGAGCCGCCGCGCCGCCCGCCCGGCCCGCGGGGCAGGTGAGTGCGGCCCCCGCGGCGGCGTCGGCCCCTGTCCCCGCGTCGGGACCAGCTCGTCAGTGTCCTCCGGTCAGCGGCCCCGCGCTGCCCTCCTGTCAGCGTCCTCCCGTCAGTGTCCCTGTGTCAGCGGCCCGGCGCTGCCCTCCCGTCAAGTCCCCGGCACCGTCTGCCTTCCCCGTCCCCGCGTGTGTCCGCGTCACTGTCCCCCTGTCAGTGTCCTGTCCGGTCCCCGTCCGCCTGTCCCCGTCCCCCAGGTGTGTCCCCGGCACTGTCCCTGTGGCAGCGCTCCTGTCAGCGTCCTCCCGTCAGTGTCCCTGTGGCAGCGGCTCGGCACTGCCCTCCCGTCAAGTCCCCGTCACTGCCTGTCCCTGTCCCCCGTGTGTGTCCCCGGCACTGCCCTCCTGTCAGCGTCCTCCTGTCAAGTCCCTGTCACTGTCTGCCTGTCCCCGTCACTGTCCCTGTGTCAGTGTCCTGTCAGGTCCCCGTCACTGCTTGTCCCCGCCCCTCATGTGTGTCCCCGGCACTGCCCTCCTGTCAGCGTCCTCCCGTCAAGTCCCTGTCAGTCACTGTCTGCCTGTGCCCGTCCCCGTGTGTGTCCCCGGCGCTGTCAGCGTCCGCCTGTCAAGTCCCCGTGTGTGTCCCCGTCACTCTCAGCGTCCTCCTGTCAAGTCCCCGTCACTGCTTGTCCCCGCCCCTCATGTGTGTCCCCATCCATGTCCCTCGTGTCAGCCTCTCGGGCACTGCCCCTCCTGTCAGCGTCCTCCTGTCAGCGGCCCTGTCACTGCCCCTGTGTCAGCGTCCCAGTCAGTGTCTCCTTGTCAACATCCCTGTCACTGTTGCCGTCACTGCCCGCCTGCCAGTGTCCCTATGTCAGTCTCCTGGTCACTGTCCCCCGTCAGTGTCTCTGTGTCAGTGTCCCTGTTCGTGTTCCATGTCAACATCCCTGTCACTGTCCCCTGTGTCATGTCAGCGTCCTCATCACTGTCTCACTGTCCCCATGCCAGCATCCCCATCAGTCCCCTGTGTCAGTGTCTCCATCACTGTTGCCCACGTCAGTGTCCCATCACCGTCACTACCCTCGTGTCAGTGTCCCTGTCCCCAACACTGTCCCCTGTGTCAACATCTCCATGTCACTTCTGTCACTGCCCCCACGTCAGTGTCCTCATCACCGTCCCCATGTCACCCTAACCCTAACCCATGTCAGTGACCCTGTCACTGTCCCATTACTGCCTGTCACTACCCTGTGCCGGTGTCCCCATGTGAGCATTGCAGCATGTCATTGTCCCCCATGTCTCATGCCACTGCCCCCTGCGTGTCCACCTTGTCGTTGTCCCGCCATGTCACTGCCCTGGTCAGCATCCTCCTCAGTGGCCTCATGGCGGTGTTCCAGGCAATGTGCCCACCTTATAGTGGCTCAGTGCCTGTGGCGTGGTGGTCCTGTTCCCAGGGCCTCGTCACTCTCCAGCCCATGGTGTCCCCTCTGCCCTGCCTCCTGGCCACCCCTTCTCCAGGTGCTGCTGCTTCCATCTGCCTTTTCCTTGTCCCGTCCTCCGCCCGGCGCCTTACTGTCCCCTCCACTCATACCCACCCTTGCTTGGTCTGTCCAGCCCCCTTCTGTGGCCCGTGTGCCCCTGGCAGAGCTGATGGCCTGGGCTGGAAGTGCGCTGGTGGCCGAGCTGTGGCAAGGAAGAGAGGACGTTGCAAGGGACAGCAGCAGCTGGTGACGTCTGCTAGTGCCCTGAGCCCGGCTCCCGGAGACAAGCGAGGGGGCCGGCCCTGCTGCATGTGGGGAGCAAGGCTTCTCCATGCGAAGTTGTGGGAGAGGGTGTCCGTCCGGGGCTGAGAAGGATCGGGCGGCCGCTGTGTTGACTCTGCAGCTGCCCAGCTTCTCAGACTGGGCCTCTGGACTCGGGTCTTTCTTCTTGTCAGGTCACACCCAACTCCTGCTGTGTGACTGGGACGGTCCTTGTTGGCTCCTGTAGTCCCAGGGGTGGAACCTGGGCTTCCCTGTACAAAGCCCGTGGAGCTGCCTCTCCTGCCTGCGAGAGTTTTTTTTCCTGACTCGGGTTTGTTGGTTTTTGTTTTGGGGGCCACACCCAGTGATGCTCAAAGTTTCTGCTGGCTCTGTGCTCAGGGGCCACTCCTGGAATTGCTTGGGGGACCATCTGGGATTCTGGGGATCAAACCCAGTCAGCCGCGTGCCAGGCAGACAGGCATCTTCCCTGCTGCACTCTCGCTCCAGCTCCAGCCTCGGTTTGTTGTCTGTTTTCCTTTTGAGGCCATACCTGGTGGTGCTCAGGGATCACTCCTGGCGGAGCTCTCAGGGACCGTAGGTGATGCTGGGGATTGGACCTAGGGCAGATGCCTGCAGGACAAGCACCCTGCTGCTGTGCTGTCTCTCCAGCCCCTCTTCATGAGCTTTTCGCCGCGGAGGCCTGACTTGTGCATCTGTCCCATGCACTGATGTACCTGGGCTGGCGTTGGAGTTTTCCTGAGGAGAGAGTTGTGATGGAAGTAGCTCAGTGCGCCTCTCTAGAGGACCTGAGCTGGGGGCCCCCTGCCCTCGGAGTGCACGTGGCAAGTCAGTCGGGGGACACCCAGGGTTTGCCCCAGGCCGTCTGGCCGTGCCTCTCTCCCCTCTGTCCTCAGGCCACCCGGAGTGGTGCTGAGGAGGGCTGCTCCCAGCTTGGTGCTTGGGGGTCACTCCTGCGTGTGCTTTACAGGCCATGCAGTGCCGGGGCTTGAACCCAGGCCTCCTGCGTGCAAAGCATGTGCTCCAGTCATCGAGCGTTTTCTCTGGCCCAGGAGTCTGTTGTTGTTCTCTTTCTGGGCCGTACTTGCCAGTGTGGGGAAGGGCGAGGAGGTTCTGCTTCCTCCAGTGGGGCTTAGGATTGTACCTGGGGCAAAGCATGTACTCCAGCCCTTTGAGTCTCCTCTCATCTGTCCTCCCACAGTGGTCCTCCCTCTCATCATCCTCCCATTTCCATACTCTGACCTCATTCCTCTCTCTTCCCTCCCTCCTCCATCCTCTTCCCTCCTCTCACCTTCCTCCCACCCCCTTCTCTGTCCTCTCACCTCCTTCCACTTGTCTCCCTCCTCTTACCTCCTTCCTCCCATTTCCCTCCTCTTACCTCCCTCATCTCGCTTCCCTCGCAGCTCACCTCCTTACCTCTGTCCCTCACCTCCCTCTTCTTACCTCCCTACTCCCACCTCCCTTCTTCATCCTCCTCCCTCCGCTCATCACCCACCTCCTCCTCTCACCTTCCTCCACTCACCTCTCTCTACTTCCTCCTCTCACCTCCTCACCTCTGTTCTCTCACCTCCCTCAACCCTCCCTCCTCTCACTATCCTCCCTGTCACTTTCTACCTCACACCTCTCTTCAGCCTCCAACTTGGTCCTCCCACCTTTGTCCTCCCACCTCTTTCTCCCTTGCTCTCTCACCTTCGTTCTCCCCATTGTTTGAGCCGCATCCTAGTTCTTGAGGTAAAATTAGGGTGTAGTTCCCTATATGGTTATATAATTCTAGCATTTCTTTTATTTGTTTGGTTCATACCTGGCGGTGTTCAGGAATTACTCCTAGCGATGCTCGGGGGACCCTATGGGATGCTGGGGATTGAACCTGGGCCAGCCGCGTGCAAAGCAAATGCCCTACCCACTGTACTATAGCTCCAGCCCCCTTTATCTGTTTTTTAAATTGAAGCCATTATTATTATACATTGATTGGACCTCTCTGTGGGGCTCATTTCTGGACTTCCTGGTACGTGCCATTCATCTGGGGCTGGGATCTGTGTGCAGAGTACCACACCTGGCAGTGGTCAGGGGTTACTCTTGGCTCTGCACTCAGGAATTACTCTTGGCGCTGCTCCAGGGACCATATGGGATACCAGAGATGGAACCCAGCTCAGTTGTGTGCAAGGCAAGCTCCCTACCACTGTCCTATCGCTTTGACTCCCCTCTGCTTTTCTGTGCTATGCCAACCCTAGGTTGACTTAGTTTGCATAAATTACTTGATTCTAAGTCTTAAAATGAGGTAATGTGAGATCTCCATCTTTTTTCATCGACAGAATTGTCTGCTAGGGGCCAAGATGTAGCTTAGCATTAGAGCATTTGCCTTGTATGTCTGAGTCTCTGGGTCCAGTCTTTGGCACTGCAAAAATAAACGAACAATACCATCTCTCCAGTTTTGGAATAAGCTTTTCAAGCTGTATCAGCAAATTTTGCTGAGAATCTGGGTATATTGAACCTATAGATGAGTTAAATGTCTTTTTTTTTCTTTTTGGGTCACACCCGGCAATACACAGGGGTTACTCCTGGTGGTGCTCAGGGGACCATATGGGATGCTGGGAATCGAACTCGGGTCAGCCGCATGCAAGGCAAACACCCTACCTGCTGTGCTATCTCTCCAGCCCCAGAGTTAATTTTTTTTTTTTTTTTTTTTTTTTGCTTTTTGGGTCACACCTGCGATGCTCAGGGGTTACTCCTGGCTCATGCACTCAGGAATTGCTCCTGGCGGTGCTCAGGGGACCATATGGGGTGCTGGGAATCGAACCTGTGTTGGCCATGTTGACTGCGTGCAAGGCAAATGCCCTACCCGCTGTGCCATCGCTCTAGCCCCCAGAGTTAAATTTTTAACTTTGTAACATTTATTTAAATTTTTGGGCTATACCTGGAGTTGATCAGGAGACCTGTAGTGTCTGGATTTCATCCAGCATACAATGCAAGTGTTCCAGCCCTTTGAGACATTTACCTGGCCCAGAATCTTATAATATTCTGATAGAATAAGATATGATGTTAGTGTACAGCTTATAAAATATACCCAAGTAAGCACAGTGGTGGGGCATTTGCCTTGCACGCAGCCAACATGGCCGACCCGAGTTCAATTCCTCCGCCCCTCTCGGAGAGCCCAGCAAGCTACCGAGAGTACCTTGCCCGCATGGCAGAGCCTGGCAAGCTACCCGTGATGTATTCGAATATGCCAAACACAGTAACAACAAAAGTCTCCAATGGAGATGTTACTGGGCCCGCTCAAGCAAATTGATGGACAACAGGAGGACAGTGACAGAATATTTTAGTATATAGTGCACCTGAGGGTACATTTTTGAGATGTACCCTAAGAACTGAGTGGTTCTTTTGGTGGTGACAGGAACTGAACTCAGGGATTCATGCATACAAGACAAATGCTCTGCTACGTAGCTATATCTCTGGCTTGCCCAAGGTTTTAATTAATTTATTTATTTTTGCTTTTTTTGAGGGGGGTCACACCCGGTGATGCACAGGGGTTACTCCTGGCTTTGCACTCAGGAATTACCCCTGGCCTTGCACAGGGGACCATATGGGATGCTGGGAATTGAACACAGGTTGGCTGCATGCAAGGCAAACACACTACCTGCTGTGCTATTGCTCCAGCCCCCTTGCCCAAGGTTTTAGAATTGAATTTTTAATACTGATGGGACCAAGAGATAATACAGAGGGATGAGGTGCTTGCCTTGCACACTGCTCACTCAGGTTCAATCCTGGCACCATGATGGTCTCCTGAGTTCCTCCAGGAGTGAGCTCTGAGCATAGTAGTGTGTTGTCCCTCAAATAAGACTCACATTGAGGGCTGGGGAGGTGCTTAAAAGGTGGGAATCTAGGGTCTGCACATTAGGCCCCAGGATTGGGCCCTGGCACCACATGTGCCCTTGGGTAACCTAGCTGTGTTCCCCCTCTCTCAACCCCCAGATAGATGTTGGGCAGAGAGCTCATGCCTGGGGACAGCTCTCCGTTGGCACTGAGGAAACTGTCCTAGTCTAGCTGCTGTTGGTGCTGAGCAGGGGTCATGGTTAGGGGGCTTCGGGGTCACTGTTGTTTCCCCTCTCTGGTGGCCCCAGTCAGGTGAGGTCAGGGTCATTTACTTCAGCACCTACTCAGCACTGGACCTGCCCTGGTGCTTCCTGTCCACGGAGACACCCTCTGTGCTTTTGGTCCTGTCTCAGTGCATGTGTTGTCCCCTGCCAGTCAGGCACTGCGGCCGCTGAGGCAGCTTGAGGCCCCTGCTCAAGTGAGGTTTTAGGAATCCACAGCCGAGCAGGTCAGACAGCACGGCTGCTGTCCTGGGGTGGGCTTCTGTGATGGTTCAGTCCTGTCACAGACTCCCCTCCAGGTTCCCCTCTTCCACTCTGCCCTGAGCTCTGCCGCACACCAGGACCTGGCACACAGGCTTCATGGGGGTGCAGCTGGGGTGGCTGCTGTCTTCCCCCTTTTCTTGTGTGTCTTTCGCTTGGTCTCTGATGCCTTCAAACAGCCCTTTTTCTATTTTGGCCATGGTGCAGCGTAATTTGAAGGAGGAGGGTTATTCTGATACATGCCTGGGCCTGGAGCCTCAGGACCGTATTTTTAATTATTTTGATTTTTGGGTCACACCTGATGGTACTTGGGGGTCGCTTCTATCAGTGTTGGAGGGTCCCAGGGTGTCAGCGACCCAGTCTAGCCTGCTTTGTGCAAACATACCCATCCCACTGCCTATTCTCTCTGGCCTACAGCCTTCATTTTTTATATAATTGTGTTTTTGAGGTAAAAGGGAAGTTTCTCACTTGCAGGAAGTAATGGAAGCAAGGAAACTCATTTATTTAAAACTCTCCCTCCACAAACTTGCTGATGGGGAGAATGTAGGTCCCAGGCGTTTCCGGGGCCTGGGAGGAAGCTGATTGTAGAGTCTGCTGGGGGCGCTGTCGGCTCCCCTCTCTTTTTTTCCCTTTTTGGGTCATACCCAAGGGTTTCTCCTGGCTCTCCACTCAGGAATTACTCCGGGCAGTGCTTGGGGCACTGTATGGGATGCTGGGAATTGAACCCGGGTCAGCCGCATGCAAGGTGAATGCCCTACCTGCTGTGCTATTGCTCCAGCCCCTCGGCTCTGCTCTCTTGAGGGTCATCGGGGACAGAGTTCCCTCTGGCGACAACTTACAGCACTTGATGGTGGGAGGGCACTGCCCTCTGCTCCAGATATGGGACAGGTCAACAGGGAAGCCTGTAGCTGTGCTGCTGCCTCTTCTGGAAAATGGTTTATTTGGGAAGCTCTGGGGCAGCAGCTGCTGGGCCCACGCACAGTAGCTGACCCAGGGCAGCTGCCACTGATTACTATAACAGGATTCTCTCAGGAGGTCTCAGCAAGGGCCCCGGGATGTGGCTGGGGTTCTGCTCTGAGCCCACAGATCTGACCAGGCCTGCCCACATTGTCCGGCATGATCCTCAGGCTGTGGCCGGGATCGCTCTGGGATCTGCCTACTAGCCTGTGCTCTGCAGCCAGCTGTGCCTCCCTGCCAGGACAGCAGCAGCATGGAGCAGGGGAGGATTCAGTAAAAACCCAAGTGGCAGAGGCAGACTGGAGAGCACCCCGGAGAGCTTGAAAAAGCACACGCAGTTGAGTGCTGCGGCCCCTTCTCTCTTCTCCGCCTCCTGAGGATTCAGCATGCTCCTGGGGGCGCCGTTTGGATCTCTGTGTCTCTCACATTTCCGTGCAGCGTGTCTAGTTTTGTTTGTGGTCTCACCCAGTGGTGTGAAAGGCTGCTTGTGACTGGCGCGCGAGGGGTTGCTTCCCGGGGGCCTGAAGGGCCCTTGCAGTGCCAGGGATCGAGCCTGGACTCCACCAAGCATAGCAGTTGCCTGGTGTTTGGTGCTGTCTCTTGGCCTCTTAACATGCTGAAAGTTTCTTGTCAGTCTTTGAACGTGGAATGCAGTTGTAAACAACTGTTCAGATTGCCCTGCCTGCTGATTTAATCATTTTTCATGTCTGGGATTGTTTTGCTTGATTTTTCTCATCACACTGGTTCATATTTTCTTGCTCACTTGCATGCCTGGTAATTTTTGATTGGATGCCAAGACATTGTGAATTTTATCTTGTTGGATGTTGGCTATCTTTGTGTTACTATAAATAGTCATAACCTTTGTTCTAGGATAGGTTCAATGGAAAACAGTTGGACTCTGGTGCGTCTTTAAGTTTTGTGAGAAGGAACTGTGATGTGACAGCTCAATACCAATTTAGAATATGATTAGAATTGAATATGAATATATTTGATACATACGTATTCAGATCAATACAATATGTTCCTCTGGGGCTAGTTTGTTTTGGTGGCACGCTCAACAGTGCTCAGGGTTTACTCCTGGTTCTACACTCAGGGATGGCTCCTGGTGGGGCACCGGGGACCCTGTGCTGTGCATGGAACCAGCTGGGCCACATGCAAGGCAAGTACCTTAACCCCTGTATAATCTCTCTGGTTTCTTACTGGAGTGTTCTCAAAGAAAATTCCTGAAGACTTATCTCAAGCATAGTTAGGTCTCTATAAAGTTTTTTTCTGTTTGTTTGTTTTTGCTTTTTGGGTCACCCCTGGCAATTACTCCTGGTGGCGCACCTATAAAGGATGCTGGGGATTGAACCCAGGTTGGCCACATGCAAGGCAAATGCCCTACCCACTGTACTATCATTCCAGCCCCAATAAAACCTTGCTACTGTGCTCAGAACTACAAGGCTTCACCTTCATTTCAGGTGATGCCCGTCACAGTCACAATCACCCAAAACTCCCAGACACCTTTTCTAGCTGCTCCCATAACCTTGTCTTCTTGGGAGATGCAATCTGCAGGTGGGGTGACCGGCCTCGCGCATGCAGAGCCTTTGAATTACTCTCCTGACACCCATCCCTGTTGTTGTGTTTATTTTTTTCAGTGCTGGGTATGGACCTCAGCACCTTATACATGCAGGGCAGGGCGGCTCTGCCCCCTAACCACCTTCCTGGCTCTCACTTGTTCTGGTTCTTACTATAGACCTTGGAGCTGGTCATTCTACTAAGAGACTCGTTCATCTTGAGACTGGTCTGTAGCGGTCACTTTTCTTATGGGAATTGTGATGGATTTGCAGTAAGCCGTGCCGTCTCCAAGGTGGGCAGACCTTTCATGTTGGTGAGAGTAAGGATCTATAGAGACCCTTCTCCTGTCTTTGCATTTCCATTCAGGAGCTAGTTAGCCAGCTGTATAGTGGGTGTATAACTCTAGTCTCTCCAGAACAAACCAAGATAGGAGTTTTTGGTTTTTCAATCAGGAAACTTTCTGATGATTTGAATACTAAATAAAGCTATTGTTTTTTGTTGTTGTTGTTGTTGTCGTTTGGGGACCTTACCTGGCAGTGCTCAGGGCTTATTCCTGACTCTGCACTCAGGGATCATTCCTCACGGGTGGGGAGGGCTGTGTGGTACCTGGGATCAAACCTCAGTCGGCCACGTGCAAGGCAAGTACCTTAACCCCTGCACTATCACTCTGACAACCAGCTGTTGATTTTTGTTTTTCTTTTCCCCGCTACTGTGGTAAATTAGCTTTATAAAGACACAATTTAAAGTTAGAATTTTCCTTTTATTTTTCAGGTGAAGAGACTCTAAATCTTCTGCTGAATGGAAATAATTTTTTTCAAGTTGCATATATCCAAGAAGCAACCCCAGATGTTGTTCTGTTTTGCCTGAATACAAGGTTTCAACAAGAAGTTGCCATAGAAGGTGGTGAGATACTTTCTTCTCTGCATCTGCTCTGTCATGTCATGTTATTTCTGTGAATGTGCTGTGTCAGGGGGACTATGAAGATGGATGAGAGTCGAGCATTTGGTTTTCAGGATGAAGGTGGGATTTTTAGTCTGGTTTTGGGATGCTGTGTGGTGGGCAGGTTGCTTGGTCTGTCCAAGACAAGATATATTCCACAATGGTGAGGGACAGCTGCCTGCCTGGTGGATGCTCTGTGGGTTATGAGGTGGAAAGGTGAGGCCGTGCTTGCCCACAGGAGCCGCTTCTATTCTGTGTGTGCCTATGGCCTCTGCGTGGTGCACTTCTATTGGAGGGAAGGGACACTCGTGCTCTCAGCAGTGCTGGGTGCGCTTTGGTCAGTGATACATGTTGGATTATGCCAGCACTGGCGGGGGTGTGCTTAGGAGGCCTGGGAACCCCTCCTAACAATTCTTGGTGGGCCCTGGACCACTCCAACAGTGCTCAGGGGCCTCCAAGACTGTACCTGGTGATACTGGGGGCACATGGTGCCAGTGACATTGCCTCTCCAGCTTTGGTTCACAAAAGATACTGTTTCTTGTCTGCATGTTGGTCTCTTAGTAATTAACTCTGAAAAGGCCATCAAGAAATAAAAAGAAGAAAAGAAGAAATAAAGAAAAGAAGAGAAATGAAAAGGCTAGTGAGCATTGTGATAGTATATCTTTGCTTTTGCTTTTCCTCTTCAGAGGAAAGTGTGCTCACTGGAAGTCTTCATATTTCCAGAGGGTAATTCTCAGCAAGGGACTGGAGTGATAGCACAGCGGTAGGGCATTTGCCTTGCATGCAGCCAACGTGGCCGACCCGAGTTCGATTCCTCCTCCTCTCTCGGAGAGCCTGGCAAGCTACCGAGAGTATCTCGCCCGCACGGCAGAGCCTGGCAAGCTACCCGTGATGTATTCGATATGCCAAACACAGTAACAAAAGTCTCCAATGGAGACATTACTGGGCCCGCTCGAGCAAATCGATGAACAACGGGAGGACCGTGACCGTGAATTCTCAGCAAAGATGGACTTTGAGTCAGAAAATTCACTTAGAGTTCCTTATGAATAAGCATAGTTAGATGCTCAAGGCTTACATTGAACATTCGTCAAGTATGATATATGTCAGGATTTGAAAATCTTAATTTCTGGGAGGGTAGACCCCTTTGTGAGTGCTCAGAAGCTACTCCTAGCTCTGTACTCGGGAGCCACTCTTGGCAGTACTTGGGAGACCAAGTATCATAGATTGAACCTGGTTCTCCTGCATGCAAAGCGTGCTTTTTGTGCACTCAGCCTGTTTAGATCTCTTTCTGGCCCACATAATCTTATATGGTACATGTGTGTGATATGTGTGTTGTGTATGATATGTGGTGTGTGTTCTCAGTGTGTGGTATAGGTATAGTTTGTGTGATGTGTATATACATGGCTTGTGGATTGTGTGTGTGGATTGTATGTGGTTTGTGTGTGATATATGTATGGTATGTGTGTGGTGTGTAGAGTATGGGGTGTAGTGTGTGTGGTTTGTGGTGTGTAATGAGTATGTGAATGAACTCTGGGGGAGTCTGACTCTGCCATCTCCTGACCCTCCTTTGTTCATTTCGTGGATTCCGGGCTTTGCTGAGACTCAGTCCATACCAGATCCCTTACTTTTGAGGAAAGTGGGTTCATTTATAGGTAAAAGATCTTTAAAGTTCAGAGAGGTGAAGAAGCTTGTTGATGGGACCAGAGAGAGTGTGCACAGGTCAAGCCTTATAAACCGTTGACCAAGGTCCAGTCTCCAGCACTATGTAGAATCTCCTGAGCCTCGTCAGGAGTCATTCCTAAGCATGGATCTGAGAGGAAGCCCCGAGCTCTGCCGGAGGTGGCTCAAAGGGAAAAGAACCATACTTGCTGGGCCCAGGAGATAGGCCAGAGGGCTGGAGCGCAGCCCTGCGTTGGGGAGGCCTGAGCTCCATTCCTGGTGCCACATGGTCTCCTGAGCTACCCCAAAATGAACAAACAAACCCAAAGCTTGCTTCAACTGTATAGTCCTTGGGGAGAGTTCCGGCTGCTGCCACAGGTGCTCTAAGGAGCAGTGACACAGAGTGGGGTAGGGGAGCTTCCCACATGCTCTCAGAGGGCAGAAGAACCCAGGGCTCTCCCTCCCTCCTCCCCTGAGCTCGGTCACAGACCACACTGCCAAGAAGCCAAGGAACCACCAAAGGCTGCGGTTGCAGGTGGGTGGGGTGACAGGGGCACATGGACACTGTGCCTGTGGGTCCCAAGCCTGGCTGTGCAGTGGGGAACAGTCTGTGACTCAGCCTGTTCCTCCCCTGTGCCCTCAACCCTGGAGTAGGCCTTACCCCTCCTTTTTATTTTCTGGTGGTGCTGGGGATCATACTTGGACCTCTCGTGTGCCCACCAAGCACTTTGTCCTTTTCCCTGTCTGTAGTGCGGTAGCAGCAGTCAGCACATCCCTTCGTTAGCCAGTTTGACAAACCCAGATAGCTGCTGTATGCCAGAACTAGGTTAGGGCCAGGGGCTTCTCCTAGTGCAGCCAGTGGACCCTCAAAGTTGGTGGCCTGTCCTGGATCTTCACAGACTTGGGTGGGGGGTATTGCATGGGATAAAAGGACTTGAAGCATCTACCCTTCAGAGGAGCCTGGCTTTCGGTCCAGCTACTCTTTGGGGAGAGCATCCCCACACTTGGGATGGCGCTTCTCTGTCCGCAATGTGCGTAGGCTTCGTCACTCAGGCTCCATCAGTGATGACGTGATATATGACCAGTTTGTTTTTTTTACCTTTTTTTTTTTTTTACTCTTGTTTCTTTTCACTTCTTGTGGGCCAGAGGGTGCAGGGGACTGGGGCCATACCCAGTGGCTGTGTGTCTTGACCCTGTGCTCTCCTGGTCCTGCATCAGCCATACTTGTGGGCGACCACACCATGCAGGCTACCCTGAGCTCATCCACAGCTGGCAGGTGGGTGTTGTCTCTTTGCTTTCTTTGCAGATAGGACCTCTAAAGGCAAAATGCACTGGCCAGTGTGCTTGGGCTTGTTGCCCAGTGACTCAGTGAGGAAACCACGGTCACATGGGAGCGGTCACCCAGCCAGCCCAGCTCTCATGTCTAGAAGAGACAGCTAGCTGGGAAAGGGCACGTTTCAGATTCTGGTCTCCGGGCAACAGTCTCTGCCACGGAATGTGTATTTCTGCAGGGCCCTGTTCATGGAACTCTCTGAACATTTGCCACCTACCTGCTGACTGATGGTTGTATTAACCTGAGACCGTAAATAAAGAAGCAGTTTCAAGTTCCTTCCATTTGGCTGTTGGATAAGACGCTAGAAGATGTTGGGAATACTTGAATTGATATCCACCACCAGGTAGTGGTAGGCATGGTGAAGGGCTGAGGGGTCTCTGAGCTGCCGGATCCAAATGTCAGGTATAATATCAGAGGTGACTCCGTCGGTAGTTGACTCATGGGCTGGGATCTCTGGTAAAGATGCTGTCAGCCATGGGCCTTTGATCACCTGGGAAGGGCCCTTCCCCATGGGCAGCTGAGCAGATAGATGCTTGCAGAGCAACAGTGGGTAGTGGGCAGTTTTGGGAGTGAACAGTTTGGAAAAGAAACGTGCATCTATATCTGAGTCAGCTTCAGTCAGTGCCTCCCACCTGCGTTTTTTAACAGTGGCTTTAGCTGCAGCTGAACCAGTGCCAGTAAGGATATTTCCCGAGATGTGCAGGCAGACGGAAGCACAGAGGGGTGAGAGATACTTTATTAATGGCAAAGTGAAATGTACTGACAGGAGCAAGGGAAGCAAACGGTCTGTGTAAATTAAAGACTCTAAAGAGTAACCTTGTTTTATTTCAATTATCGGTGGTGATGTGAATTGAGATTTTCAACTGCTGTTCAGTAATGGTGAAAGGAACAAAATAAGTGTAATGAGGTGAGTTTTTCTTAGGACTGTTTTTCTCAGGGACCTGGGGAGATAGCTCAGAGGGAGTGTGTGCAGAATGAGAGAGATGGGACAGCAGTTAGGGCACTTGGCTTACACACAGTTGAGCCAGGTTTGATCACTGGCACTGCCTAGGGTTTTCTCCCAGCCCCTCCAGGAGCGACCCCTGGGTACAGATTCAGGAGTAAGGCTGAGCACTGCCGGGTGTGGCTCAAAAACCGAACGACTCAAAGGGAGTAAAGGAGTGCAGGTGTGGGAAGCCTGGTTCCTGTCTCTGACACCACATGGTCTCTCGACTGGCAGGCGCAGCTCCTGAGCACCCTAGCCTGAGACCATAGCCTTCTGTTTTGGGATATTTAAAGAACTGTTTTCTGAAATAAGGTCACTAAGGGGAGTAGGTAAAGTAGATGATAGTTTATCCATTCTTTTCTTTCCCTTTGCTTCTTGTTTGGGAAAATTAAGAAGTTTATAGACCTCTTAGTGAGGTGCAGCTAAAGCCATGCTTAAGAAGAAATTTGTGGCTTTAATTGCTTATAGTGGGAAAAAATAGAATGAAAGAGGAAATTAAAGAGTATTAAACTAAATTTAGTAAAAGAATATATAAGTAGCACTGTCCTCCCATTGTTCATCGATTTGCTCAAGCGGGCACCAGTAATCTCCATTGTGAGACTTATTGTTACTATTTTTGGCATATCGAATACGCCACAGGGAGCTTGCCAGGTTCTTGGAAAACCAATAACTGAAGCTTCTAGATTAAGAATCTGGGGGGGGAAGGGCTGGAGAGAAAATTCAGGGATTAAGGTTGCTGGTGGCTGATCCCAGTTTGTTCTCCAGCACCACATATAGAGTCCCTTGAGCACCACCAGGGATAACTTTTGAGCACAGAGCCAGGAAATCACCCCGAGCATCATCAGGTTGACCCCCAACCTCTACTCCCAAAACTAATTGAGAAAAAAAAATCTCAAAGTGTGCCCTTCAAAATTATGGAGATGAAGTAAAAAATGGACAAGTACCCGAAGCCATTTCCTCAAACAGCTCCTACCCTATCAGTCACTCTTTCGCTGCATGCATGGAGACAAGGGAGAGAGGAGGAGGAAGAGAGGCAGTGCTTAGAGGGATTAATGAGATGTGGGGACTGAACATTTTGGCCAAGTGGGATCCCCACTGCTTCTCTTTCCCTTGGATTCTCTGGGGCGTTTGGCTGAGAGACATCTGAGGAGTATGTAGAAACAGCCTTCTGTTACTAAAAGTACTTCTGGTAGTCATTTGCGCCACACCCGGCAGTGCCCAGGGACTATTCCTGGCTCTGCTCAGTGATCACTCCTGGCAGAGCTCAGTGGACCATATGTGGTGCTGGAGAGTTGAACTGGGTTACCCACATGTAAAGCAGCTGTCTCAGCCCTTGCACTATTTTCCTGACCCCAACATTCATTATTTCTGACAGGGCAGAATTGCCTTACCACTCCCCACAAATACCCACCTCATTCTCACAGGGGAAATAGGGACAATCTCAGGACCCAAAAGAAAACTGAGTGTAGGGTTAGCCTGTGGAGTTCCTGCAGTTGATTTTGTTTTTGGGCTACACAACGTGCTTAGGACTCACTCCTAACTACACTCAGGGATCACTCCTGATGGGGTTAGGGGAATCATATGGGATGCCGGTGATCAAACCTGGTCGGCCACTTTGAGGCAAGTGCCCTGCCAGCTATACTCTCTCTCCAGCCCAGTTTCTTCAACTGAAAGTCAGAGTTTCTGACATTGTGAGTCTGGCTGGGGCAGGTATACACAGCTGTGTGTGTAGGTCACGTGTATAGATGTGCGCTTATGTGTGAGTGTGGGAATTTGTGGTCATGCCGGAGGACACATGAGTGCTCACCCGTGTGTGTGTGCAGGTGAGTGCGGGCATGGGCAGGTAGAATTGTATACACACAAGTGTGTGTGGCTGTGTTGATGTGTGTCAGTGTAGGATGTGCTGAGGAAAAATGGGGAGTCTTCTTCTGTTCCTTGTAGTCAGGTTTGGATCTGGGGACAGGGAACAGTGCCCGGGAGCCTTGTGCAGAGTAGCCTGGTGAGTGCTGGGAGCTGGAGTTGGTGGAGTGTTGGCACAGAAACAAGAGCGATAGGGCAAAATCTGATTTGAAAAGTGATCTTGGTGCAGCAGGACAGAGTTTCTGAAGAGCTGACTGGCTGTGAGGACTCTGCATCCCAGAGACACAGACGGCTATTTCAGTGTTTGTGTGGTTGTTGGAATACTAGGGAAGACAATTCCTGGCTGTTTCCATCCTCTTGCAAATAATGGTCCATGTAATGTTGAAATCAGAGGTTTTGCTCAGTGGAAGTAGCAGTGTTCTGTTTTTCATTCTGCAGAAAATGGGCTGGTCAAGAGTGATGGGTCTGGCCAGAGCCCAAAGAGCTTGTGTGTGAGGGTGGGAGGCGACCGTGTGTGAGGATGGGAGGCGACCTCAAGAGTGACCTTGGTGTTTTCCAGGTGGAGGCCTGGTAGGGTGGGCGGGACTTCAAGTCATCACAGATGGACTGTGCTGAGTCCCACCTGCAAGTCCGTGTTTTCTCTTGTGAGTGTCAGGCATGGCCTCTCAGAAGACTGGGGAGAGGAAGTGTGTTGTGAGCAGAGCCTGGGTGCAGCCCTGGACAGTCCCAGCTGTGAACAGGCGGGTAGGGGTGTGGCCCTGGCAGTGAGCAGGTTGGCAGGGGTGGGCCCCTGCAATGAGTAGGCTGGCCAAGGGTGTGGTAGTGAGCAGGCCGGCAGGGGTGAGGGCTGCATTTGAGCCAGGGCTCAGCGGTGAAGCACGGCTGCTCGGTCAGTCAGCTGACCCACTGTTACGGGTCCCTAGCCCCTGGCTCTGGGGTGAGACTTCCCCAGAAGAAACTATGCACAGGGCCCTTTGCTCTCAGGATTGGTGATCTAGGGGGCAGCCCTCGCTTTCCTGTCAGGGCTTTGGTGTGCCAAAAGCTAAGACTTGCATGGCCTGGAAGTTTCTGGGAAAGGTGCCCAGTGTCACTCAGATGCTGCTGTTGGGGGTGGGGATGGTAACCAGTAAGTCACTGACCTGTTTGGGGTGACATGTAGTCATCCAGGGTCACGCAGATGCTGGCGTGGGTCTACCCCACGGGTTGTGGGGATCTGGGAAGTGTCCCCTGACAAGAGCATTCTGGTCAGCCTGGATGAACTCTGGGTGCATTGTCACAGGAGGAAAAGTGACCCTCTGCCTTTGCCTGCAGTTCTGTGGCCGCCACCATGTTCTGGAAATTTGACTTGAACACCACGTCCCATGTGGACAAGCTGCTGGATAAGGAGGACGTGACCCTGCATGAGCTGATGGATGAGGACGACATCCTGCAGGAGTGCAAGGCACAGAACCGGAAGCTGCTGGACTTCCTGTGCAGGCCGCAGTGTATGGAGGAGCTGGTGAGCCTCGTCACGCGTGACCCGCCCCTGGACATGGACGAGAAGGTCCGCTTCAAGTATGTACTGAGGTGGTGCTGGCCAGCACTAGGCTGTGCTGCAGGGCAGCGGTGGGCAGTATTGGAGGTCAGCCAGGGCTGGGGCTCATACCTTGTGCCCACTCCCAGAAATGCACGAGCTGATGGAGGTCCTGGAGCTGTGGGACTGTCCTGGACCCTGAAACTGCTCTGAAGTGCAGTGGGGCTCGCCAGCAGGAGGGTACTGATCTCCACCCCTGGGCTGGGCTGGGCTGGGCTGGGGGCGGGGTGCCATGTTAAGCTGCTGGTGCGAGTGGACAAGGAGGTCCAGTGACCAGCTTTGGAGCAGACCTGGGTGTGCTGGGGAGAAGGAGCTACTCTGGGGGAACCCCCACAGCCTGTGGAGTTGAGTCGCAGCTTCATCAGCACATGAATGCCCACAGGCAAGGGTCAGTCAGCGCAGCCCCCAAGGGCCCAGATGGCAACAGAATGGCTTCCATGCCTGAGGATGAGGTGTGGCGCTTGGTGTCTGAGAGACAAGAGCAGGGTGGGGAACTGTGACTGGCATCCGCTGAATGTCTGGCCTTTCTTGAAAGTCTGCTTGCCGTTGGTCCCAGGGAGATTAGCAGGAGGGGAGACGGGCACAGCTGGACCCCAGCAGCGCCTTTGCCAAGAACCCAGGGAAGAGCCGGGGCTTGTTTGTGGGACCCTCTGTCAGGCCAACACGGGCCGTCTCCTGCCTGATTGCAGTGGTGGGTCCAAGAGTCTTAGGGCCAGAGTCCAGGAGAACTTTGGAATTGGTGAGCACAGAGCGGAGCAAAACGAAGCTGCACTGCTGGCAAGACTTCCCCTGGGAAGCAAAGATCATTGAATTCAAGCCTCTTAAAAGCTGTGGATGAGGCTGGAGAGATAATACAGTATATAATACAGTGGGTTTTGCGTGCGGCTGACCTGGGTTCAACCCCTGGAGCCCTGTAACATGGTCCCTTGAGCCCTTCAAGTGACCCCTGAAGGCAGAACTAGAAGTAAGCTCTGAGTATATTGGGTGTGGCGTAAAAAAACAAACAAATTTAAAAAAAAACCCTTTGAACTGGGACCCCACTGAATGTGGGAGGGTCATGAAAAATTTGGCAGTGGGAAAAAATTTCTAAGTGTACAGCAAGCAAAAATTCAAAATCAGCTGTGTAATGAATCCCAGGAGTGTGTATGACCAAATTCAGTTTCTTCTGTATGGAATATCCACTTCACTATCACTTCTCTAGAGGCATTTTTGCAGTGCTTGCCCATGATAAATTCCTCAGGCAAAAAGTGGTTGGAATGGAAAAGGGCCAGGGTGCCCGCAGGGACCTGGAGAGATAGTGCTCGTGGGACAGTGACGGCCTTCCATGTGGCCCACTGTGGTTTGGTCCTTGGCGCCCCATGTGTTCCTCTGAGCCCCACCAGGAGTGAGACCTGAGACTGAGCCAGAAATAGCCCCTGTGTGCCACAAATGTGGCCCCAAAGTAAAAAACCAAAGCAAAAATGAAAATGAAGACCTGGTCAGCATCTGGATCACACAGTGCCGTGTTCCTGCTCCAATTGCATGGATGGAGCTGACAGGTGTGTGTTTGTGGAGAGACAGGGAAGGGACTGTGGTGGAGGGCAGGTGCCATGAGAATCAGTCACCTACATTAGAGGAAATGGTGTGTAATATCTGAAGTTAATGGGCGAGGGTGTGTGTGTGTGTGTGTGTGTGTGTAGTATCATTCTCAGAAGCCGGGAATTGGACTGCCCATTGAGGAGCATGGCTTTGGGAGGGGAGAGGTGTGGCTGGGCTGTGCCCCTGTGAAGCTGCCCTCTGCCTAGTGTTCAGAGAGTGTGTGTACAGCATGAGAGTAATGAAGGCTTACTAAACTGAAACCTAAAGTTTATTAAACTTCATTTCAATTAAAGTTGAGGTGTGGGGGGGTGGCTGGAGCAATAGCACAGCAGGTAGGGCGTTTGCCTTGCACGCAGCTGACCTAGGTTCGATTCCCAGCATCCCATATGGTCCCCCGAGCACTGCCAGGTTTAATTCCTGAGTGCATGAACCAGGAGTAACTCCTGTGCATCGCTGGGTGACCCAAAAAGCAAAAAAAAAAAAAAGTTGTGTGGGGAGCAGTTAGCTCAAGGTAGAGTGAAGGCTCACGTGTATGAGACCTGGTTCCATCTCAAGCGGTTCCTGCTCAGGAAAGTAGTGAAGTCAAGCTTCTGTTCTGAGGAAAGAAGTGGAAAGGGTGGGTGGAGGGGTCGGTAGGAAGGGGGCGTAGGTGGAGGCTTAGGGAGAAGTACTTAGGGCCAAGACGGTTCTTCAAAGAGAAGGCACAGATGACCAGACCAGGCAGCCTCGAGGTTACACAGAAATTGGATCCAGCTCTTCAGCAAAAGTAGCAGCAGTTTTATTAGCAAACTCAGTTTCTTCCCAAAAAGCCAAAAGAATTGCAGTTCAGGAGGTACATGCTGTGCACTGGCTGAACAAATCCAGACCTCCCAAAAAACCATCAGGGAAGCCAGGTGGGTAGGAAAGGAAGGGGCCCTGCTTCAGCAGTGCCTCTGGAGGAGGGGGCCCAAGTGGTGACTTGCACCTGCTCAGTAGTCAGGGGCTCCCGTTAGCAGTGCATGCATGCAGGGCCTGTGTGAGGGGACGGGACAGAGAGGAAGCGAGAGCACATCCCTCTGGCTTCCAACCTACACTACCAGGTGCTGGGTTCTGATCTGGTCCAACCTGTTCCTGGCCCCTCTCTTGGTTCAGGTGCTCAGTATCTGCAGCAGGGCAGACCCCTTCCCACCAACCCGCTGCCCAGACACCCCCATTTTCCTCTGAGGTGAAGCGCTGCACATCCCCAACTTTTCGTGGCTGATGGCGATGGTCTCCTCACATGCCTGGCAGGGAAGCTGCCCCCCACCCCTCTGCCCCAGGGCTGTGTGAGGCAGCAGCTGCCCTCCTGTCCTACCCAGGGTTGTGCAGGTACCGCTGGCTTTCCCTGGAGCCTCCTGCCCAGTTGACCTGTGCGTTCTGGGCCATTTGAGAAGACAGGAGAACCAGCAGATGGACGCCAGAATGTCGCTTTATTATACCTGAAGGTGGAGTGGAGAGTGCTGGCAGCCAGGCTGGGGCCAGACTCCCTCAGGCTCCCATATGCCTCCCTGCAGAAGCGGAAGCGTTGTCTGTCAAGGGGCAGAGTACAAGAACACAGTGGAGCCCTGGGGGATTCTGAGTCAGGGCCAAGAGGCATCTCCACCTACACACCCCCGGTCTGTGTGTGCTGTCCACCTAGCACCTCCATGTACCTCAGATCCTTCTCTCTGCTGCTTCCTGAGAAGGACGTTTCTGAGGGTCAGGCCTGGCTCTGTCTTCCTCTGATTTAGAGCCATGCACAGGATGAAGGACCTTGTTCCTGTTGTTGTCTGGTTTTCCCTGTTGTCCTCGCCCTGAGTAGGGCCTGTTTGCTTTATGCCTTTCCCTAAACCTGCCACTCTGGGATCCACCAAGGTGGGTCTGTTTTTCTTTCCAGCAGACTCAGTGTCTGCCGCGCTTTCCAGGTCTTTCCTCTTGGGCCTCTCCAACTTGGGCCCGCTTGCCTTCCACGATGACCTTGGCTGCATGTAAGCCTAGTGCTGGGGCCTTTGGTGGCTTCCAGGAACAGCGGGGTCACAACAGCTGACCTTGGCCCAGGCTTGCTCTGTGCTGAGCCCTCCTCTGATTCATAGCTGCTGTACATGGTGCGTGGCAGGTGGCGTAGGAGACCCAGGCCCAGAGTCTGTACAGCTGTCCTGTGGAGAGAGGGGACAGTACCCTGCTGGGGCCCTAGCCTGGAGTCAGTGAGCTGCTGCATGGACCTGCCTCTCCTGTGCCCATTGTCCAGGGTGAGGTCAAGAGCAATTTTGTGTCTGACTCCTCATCACTACCAGCACTTCTTCAGCCAAGACACAAGCCACATCAGTCCTGGTTTGTATGTGGGGACAAGAGGGTTGGGGAGGAGAGCGGAGACAGGGATGAGCGTCTGTGGAGAGGGGAAGCGACTATGGTGGGGAACAGGGTCTCCTGACTCACTCTGTCAGCAGGAGGTGAGTCCGGCATGGGGTGCAGCCGAGGTCAGAGGCAGAGGTATCCGGATGTGTGAGAGTCTGTTTAGATAGCAGAGGGTCTTGGGATAGGGCGTGCCAAGCAGAAAAGATTGGTGAACTTCTGAGCCTCCACTAATTAGAAACAATTATTGGTCAGGGTCAAATTTTCCTGTTCTGCAGTCTATCGGTGATCTTTCTTTCTTTTTCCTTTTTCTCTCTTTTTTTTTTTTTAAATAGGGGCCATATCCAGCCAGGCTGGAGGCATGTACGTGGGATTAAGCCTGAGGATCCTGTGTGCTAGGCCTGTCCCCTCCACTGGAGCCATAGGCTGGCCCTGCCATCGTTTTGTTCTTGTGTGTGGGCCTGCTTTCTTGGAGCCAGGTTATTTAAGCTGCTTCCTGCAAGTCACAGGAGTCTAATTTCACCTCCAGTTGCTTGCTGCTGTTGTAGGTACCCAAACACCGCCTGTGAGCTGCTGACCTGCGACGTTCCGCAGATCAATGATCGCCTGGGAGGGGATGAGGCCCTGCTGGGCCTTCTCTATGACTTCCTGGATCACGAGCCGCCACTCAACCCTCTGCTGGCCAGTTTCTTCAGCAAGACCATTGGCAATCTCATCGCCAGGAAAACAGACCAGGTGAGTGCTGCACCCCTGCCTAGGGTGTTCTGTGCAGCACACAGTGTAGCTTCAGGCAAGTGAGTTGACATTTGACAAACTGACCCTGGCTCTGGGTACAGATCCCTGCCCCCACGCAAAGTAGAGACCCCAAAGTAGCTGTCTTGGGGTCAGCCCTGACCTCATGCCTAAGAGTGAGTCAGGCTCGTGGGTGGCCCCATGGTTGGCAGGAAGAGCTGTTCTTTCTGAGTCCACTCACAGGTTGAAATCTCCTAGAAATCCAGGTGTGTCCTTTCATCCCTCCAAAAAGAATTTCCATTTGGGGGGCTGGAGAGATAATACAGCGGGGTAAGGCACCTGCCTTGCACTTGGCTGACCTGGGTTTGATCCCTGGCACTCATATGATTCCCTTAGGCCACCAGGTATGATCCCTGAGCAGAGAACCAAGAGTGAGCCCTGAGCTATGCCAGGTGTGACCCCAAAACCAAAATACTAAAATTTTAGAAACTTTCCATTTTGGGACGGAGACAGCTCAGTGGATTGAGTCAGGATTTGCACATGGGAATCCCAGGTTCTTTCCCTGGCACTGTGTGGCCTCTGAGGGGGCCCCCGTCTCTCTCAAGTCTCTACTCCTACTGTGGTTTGTCTGTTCTGTTTGTCAGTGTATCTTTGTAGCTCCCAGTGGTTGTCCCAGGGCTCAGTGGTTCCCAGAACGGGGAATCCTGTGCCGGAGCACCTGAACTATCCCAGGGGCTGGCAGTAGCGATTGGGGGGCATCAGAGAGAGATTTCTGGGCTGGCGAACGCTCAGTAGGCTAAACACCTTTGCGTGTGGGAGGCCTCGTTCAGTCCCCAGCATCGGTGTGAGAGACTTTTGAGTGCTGAGCCCAGGTAGCCCCCAGATACCACCCAGTGTGGCCAGACCAAAACAAAGGAAAGGAAGGTGAATTTCTGCGGCCACTTGAGTGATTTTCCCCTGGAATAGGTGGTAGCCAAATAAGTGTGGTCGCCTCAGCTCTCGGTGTCAGACTCTGCAGATGGTCGGGACCAGAATGGGCCTGGGTCCGCTTGATGGGGTGGAGCAGGAACAGCTGCGTGGCGGCACATGGCAGCTCTGCCCCTCTCTCCGGTATGATGTCCTGCAGCTGTTGCTGACCAGCATGGAGAGGCGTCTTTTCTTCACCACATATTGGCAAGGCCTGTTTCCTGTTAGGTTGACTCTCCCTCTTTACGGGCCTTTGGATTTTGTAGAAATTTGTGCATTTGGGGGGTTGCCTTTTCATTTTTACCCCATCCCCTCATTACCTCCCCTCTCTCCCACCTTCTCTCTTCCCCACCTCATGATATTTTAGTTTTTAGTTTGGGGCCACATCTGGAAGTGCTCAGGGCTTACTCCTGGCTCTGTGCTCAAGGATCATTCTTGGCAGGCTCCAGGAACCATATGGGCTGCCAGGGATCAATCCCCAGCTGCATGCAAGACAGGCGCCCTTCCTGCTATTCTATCTCTCGCCCACTCACATTATCTTTTTTTTTCCTTTTTTTCTTCTTTTTTGGGTCACACCTGGTAATGCACAGGGGTTACTCCTGGCTCTGCACTGAGAAATTGCTCCTGGTGATGCTCAGGGGACCATATGGGATGCTGGGAATTGAACCCAGGTTGGCCACATGCAAGGCAAATGTCCTACCCGCTGTGCTATCTCTCCAGCCCTGCCCCATGATCCTTTAATGAATAGAGGTTCAGATTTTTTTACTTATGCCAGTTTATAATTTATTTTATTTATGACTGTTGGAATTTTGGGCTCGTTTGCTAATTCTTTTAAAAAACATTTTCCTAAATTCAAGTCATGGAGATTTTCTTGCATATCATGGTTTAGAAGCTTAATTGTCCATCACCTCAGCCTTCCTGCAGTTGATTCTTAAAAGTGCTGTAGGCACCAGTTCTAGGTGAGGCACCAAGTATGGTCCCTGAGTGATTCCAGGAGTAATCCCTTAATGCAGAGCCAGGAGTAAGTCCTAAGCACTACTGGGTATGGCCCCCAAACTAAAACCAAACAAACAAAAAGAAGTGGGACTGAAGCGACAATACAGAGGGTAGGGAGCTTGCCTTGCATGCGTTTGACCCAGGTTTAATCCCCAGTATTCCATATGGTCCCCCAGGAGTGATTCCTGATTCTCCATGCAAAACTAGGACTAGGAGTAAGTAAGCAGTGTTGGATGTGACCTGCCCCTTCTCAAAATAAACAAAAAGAAGTGGTGTAAGGGTAGAATGTTTTTTTTTGTTGGTGGTGGTGGTGGTGGGGGAAGCAGTTTGGGGCCCACTCCCAGCAGTGCTTAGGGACTACTTGTGGTCATTGCTTAGGAATCTAGTCCTTCATTCTCCCTTTAGGGTGATAAGCAGCTAACCAGAACCTGTAATAATATGGCCACTCTAGCCTTCATCCTGTGTCATGGCAATACTGTCTCCCCTGGGCCGTGCTCTGGATTCTGCCCTAGGTCTGCAGTGGCACCACTGAAAAGGTCACAGCCACACAGTATGGTCTGTCTGCCAGACCGTCCTCTCATTAGCTTCAGGAGCATCTGAACTCTGCTTTTGGCTTCTGCGGTATTTCCGAACGAGCAGTTTCTTTCGATGGTCAGCACACCAGGCAGCTCTCAAGGGCCACTTGTAGCTCTGTGCTCTGGGCTTGTGGCTGATGATGCTGGGACTTGAACTCCAGCTGCCTATATGCAACATGTATGTGCAACCCTTTGAGCCTTCTCTCTGCTCCCAAGAGGTCACTGTCACTGTCACTGTCCTCCCATTGTTTATCGATTTCCTCGAGCGGGCCCAGTAACATTGTGAGACTTGTTACTGTGTTTGTCATATCGAATACATCACGGGTAGCTTGCCAGGCTTTGCCGTGCGGGTGAGATACGCTCGATAGCTTGCCGGACTCTCCAAGAGGGGCGGAGGAATCAAACTCGGGTCGGCCGTGTTGGCCGCATGCAAGGTAAACACCCTACCCACTGTGCTATCGCTCCAGCCCGATAGCACAGCGGTACGGCATTTGTCTTGCATGCAGCCAGCCCGGCCGACCTGGGTTCGATTCCTCTGCCCCTCTCGAAGAGCCCGGCAAGCTACCGAGCGTATCTCACCCGCACGGCAAAACCTGGCAAGCTAGCTACCCATGACATCCCAAGAGGTAATGCATTTTAATGAGTTTGTCAACTGCCACTCCCCCCTGACCTCAATTCCCCCCAATCCACCCCTCAAAAAGACCCACCCAAACTCAGACCTTGCAGTTGCCAAACTGAGGCCCCAGGCCAACCCCATTCTGCACCTGTTTTTGACAGTGAAACAACCGCTGCCGCTTTGCTTGTCTGTGACTGCTTATATTGTCAGAAAGTAGTCTGGGCTTTCCATGCCCTACTGATGACACTATAGTACTCAGGGGTCACCCGACAGTGCTCAGGGGTGACCGGTGGCCCTGCACTCAGGATCAATCCTGGCAGTGTTCAGGGGACCGTGTGGGGTGCTGGGAATCAAACCTGGGTTGGCCACTTGCAAGTCAAGCTCCCTCCCCACTGTGCTATTGCTCTGGCCTCAGGGCTCCAGTTTTTGCTGCTGCTGTCTGCTATGCTGTGCCTTTCCCTGTCCTGTCTCACACAACTCAGTCACACAGTGTCCCTCCATGTCCCGGTCAGAGGGCTCAGTGTCACTGTGTCCTTCTGTGTCCTGGTCAGTGTTCAGTCACTCTGTGTCCCTACATATCCCAGTTATAAGTCTCAGTCATTCTGTGTCCCTCCCTCCCATGTCCCGGTCACATGACCTAGTCACACTGTGTCTCTCTACTAGCTCTCGGGGTGCAGTCATACTGTTTCCCTCCATGTCACGGTCACAGGGTTCAGTGATACTGTGTCCCTCCATGTACCAGTTGCACTCTCCCTCTGTGTTCCGGTCCCTGGTTTCAGTCACACTGTGTCCCTCCATGTCGTGACACCAAAACTCTCAACTAATTCCTATGTCTGTCTGGTCCGCTGTAGCCGTCAGTGTCCCAGCTCACACCTCTCCAAAGACGCCAGTTCCTAGAGAGATGATCATGAGCAGAGAAGGTTCAGATAATCACATCAGCTACACAACCAGGGAGATCACTGCGGATCCTGCAGATTAAAGTCGGCTATTATGAATTACTTTATGCCAACTCACACAAATACAGAAAAATGGATAATTTCCACGAGAAGTATATTTATCTGAACTGAAAGAGACAAAATCTAAACAGCTCTAGAGTATAAAAAATAAACAATTTATTTTTTCTCAGGTGTTACTCCTGGCTCTGCACTGAGGGATCACTCCTGGCAGTGCTTGGGGGACCATATGGGATGCTGGGGATCGAACCCGGGTCAGCCATGTGCAAGGCAAACGCCCTACCTGCTGTGCTATCCCTCCAGCCCCCCCAAAACAAAATTTGTTTTATTTTGTTTTGTGCTTAGCACATGCAGGACATTGGGGGCAGGAGCCCATGACCTTGTGCTTGGAGAGAGGAGCTTTAAGGCCCTGCCCCATTTTGCTTCTGTGTTATGGAGTGTCTGCATCTGTCGCCCTCTAGTTTCCCGCTGTGATCCCTCACAACTCTTGGAATCAAGGTGCGATGGACTTAGCGACATGAGGCACATCCACTCTGTGACCTGGAAGCCACAGATCAGGATTAAGGTTTTTTGTTTGTTTGTTTTGGGGCCACACCCAGCAGTGCTCTGCACCCAGGAATCACTCCTGGCAGGCTCTGGGGTCTGTCCACATGGGGTGCCAGGGGATTGAACTGGGTAAGCTGTATGCAAGTCAAGAGCCCTACCTGCTGTACTATTGCTCCAGCCCCCAACTAGCTTTTTTTTTTTTTTTAAGTAAAACAGATTTTATTTGGAGAGTTTTAAAGTGTGGAGGGGGCGGGGATGGAGCAATAGCACAGCGGGTAGGAGTTTGCCTTGCATGTGGCTGACCTGGGTTCGATTCCCAGCATCCCATATGGTCCCCCGAGCACCGCCAGGAGTGATTCCTGAGTGCAAAGCCAGGAGTAACCCCTGAACATCGCCGGGTGTGACCCAAAAAGCAAAAAAAAAATAAAGTGTGGAGGGGGAAAGGGTGAAAGAGAGAGAGTAACGTGCTGAAGCGGAGAAAGCCCCTACACACGTCCCAGCATTAGACACGAAAGCATGAAAGTACACATCTCAAGAGGGGAGATGCAGGCGACACATGTGCTCAGGCACCACATGTGCTCGGCCACGTGGGCACAAGCAGCACATAGGCTCAGGCAGCATATGCACCCCGACTAGCATTTTTTAAAAATAATTGGCCCAGTTAACAAGGCTTTCATAGCCGAGAGTTTTTGGCTCTCATTGGTGAATCTGCTATAGATTTTGTTTCTCTTTATACTCTAGAGCTGTTTAGATTTTGTCTCTCTTAGTTCAGATAAATGTACGTCTTGTGGAAATTATCCATTTTTCTCTATTTGCGTGAGTTGGTACAAAGTAATTCATAATAGTTGATTTTTAATCTGCAGGATCCGTAGTCATCTCCCTGGTCATGTGGCTGATGTTATTATCTGTTGGTGATCATGTCTTCTCTGTTTGTGATCATGTCTCTAGGAGTTGGTGTCTTTGGGGGAAGGTGGGTTGCCAGGATGGGGCCCATGTCTCACGCAGGCTGAGTATGTACTGTACCATGAACCCCGCTCCCAGACTAAGGGTCCCCTCCCACTGCCCCTCTCCCTCCTCCCACTGCTCTGCTTCCCCATCAGTAGCATGTGGCTAAGGCCCAGCCGCACGGCATCCTCTGTTCCTGGGTGCCCACCTCACCGAGGAAGCAGGCCCTGCACTATTTGCCAGGCTGGACTTGCAGAGCCCTGTGGGCAGGGCTTTGGCTCAGGCTCTCCCCCGGCCCTGCTTGAGCCCCTTGGTGCTGGTGTAGGGCCCACTCCAAGCCTCACCTGGTTGGCGCTCTGCAGCCACCCGACACCTCTTCGGTCAGCCCGTCCCTGTGCCCTCTGACCCTGGAGTCTGCAGGTGAGTGTCCTACGCATGCATGCTCACTGCTCTGCAGGTCCGTGTCTCTGAGGCATCAGTGATGCTGCAGTGCCCCATCTCAGCTACCGCCACTCATTCCTGCTGGGTCAGGGTCAGCGAGCCTCATGCCTCCCAGCAGCACACTGAGGCCCTTCCCCTGTGTGTGCTCCACCCTCTCTCTTCTCAGCGCCGTCACCACCCAACACTCTCTCTGCTGCTTCCAGGTGCTAGTGTTCCTGAAGAAGAAGGAGCAGTTCATCAGCCTGGTACTGAAGCACCTCGGCACCTCAGCCCTCATGGACCTCCTGCTGCGGCTTGTCAGCTGCGTGGAGCCGGCCACGCTGCGACAGGGCGTCCTGCATGTGAGTGTTGCCTTCTCTGGGTGCTACCACATGGAGGTGGGCCCAGGCACAGTGGGGAGAGGGCAGGAGGCCGGCTGCTAGCCCAGATGAGAGGACACTGTCCATGGGGTAGCCCAGGCCCATGCAATATAGGCTGTGCCCTCAGGTTCAAATCTCAGCATCCCACATGGTCCCGAGCACCGCCAGGAGTAATTCCTGAGTGCAGAGCCAGGAGTAACCCCTGAGCATCGCCAGGTGTGACCCAAAAAGCAAAACAACAACAACAAAAAAGATAGGCTGTGCCCAGTCACTTAGAGTCACCAGCAGGAGGGAGAGGGCTGGAGGATGGGCCGGGGCACAGTTGCCTCACCTCAACTGTGTTCCCTCACTGGGAACCAGTCCTCATGGCCACATCACAGCGGCTGTGGCTAGCACTGGGGGGAGTCACTAGCCCAGCTCTGGGCACTGAGCACCCCTGTGCCATGGGGAGGGGACAGCCGGGTTCACAGTGAGCCAAGGGTGCTGGGTCTGTGCCTGTTCCCGAGTTGTGTCTCGGGCATATGTCCCAGCCCCTCCTTGGTGAGTAGGTCATGCTTGAGCCCGGTCCCTTATTCCTCACAGTCAGGGGCACATGTGGTGTGGGGCCCCTCTGGCCTCTGCAGGGTTGCTCCCCACAGACAGGAACAGAGTCCAGCACGAGCCTCTCCCTTCCAGTGGCTGAACGAAGAAAGGATCATCCAGAGGCTGGTGGGCCTGATCCATCCGAGCCAGGATGAAGATGTGAGTCCTCCGCCGCCCTGTCCCCTGCCTCCTGCTTCCCGACAGGCATCCACCCATCTGCGCATGCATGCAGTAATGACACCTCACGGAGGATTGTCTAAACTCTGGCTGCGTCACAAACTCCCCAAGACTAGTGGCTTCCATCAAGTATTTCTGTCTAAGTTCTTGGATTTGGGGCTTGGGGCAGGTGGGTGATGTCTGGGGCCTCAGGCTTAGTCCTTGTCCAAGGTTCTCAGGGACCACAGGACCCAGCCCCCTCAGTTCCATGTCGTGGGGCCCCACGTGGCTGCTGAATTCCCTGCACTCGCTCATGAGCCTGCTCAAGAGAGACAGGCAGTGAGAAAGAGAGACAGAGTGAGAGACAGAGAGGGACACTGAGAAAGAGACAGAGTGAGAGACAGACAGTGAGAGAGAGAGACAAGAGAGACACAGTGACAGAGAGGAGACACAGACACCACCTGGGGCCGCGTGTGGCTGCTGAATTCCCTGCACTCACTCATGAACCTGCTGGAGAGAGACAAAGAGCCAGAGACACAGCACAGCCTCCACCCCTGTGAGCACTGTTGAGCATTCCAGTCTGTCCCGCAGGCCCTGTCCTCTGTGCTGGCTCCTGCCCTTGCCCTGTTCCTGTCATGTCAGGGCCACAGTCTGCTGCTTGGGGTGTCTGTAGTGTCGAGTACAGGACAGGGCCCACGGGTGCTGTGGGCAGTGGGCCCAGAGGCAGGTCCAGTGCCACAGCCCACCTCCTGCTCTCACGAGACACAGCTGCCTGGGCCCCGTGGCCGGTCTGGTCATGGTATCAGCCCACTGAGCTGACGGCCTCCATCATTGCCACACACCCTGAGTCGGATCCTGTGTTGCCCAAGAGAAGTTGTCTTTATTTTTTCCATGTCGCCAGCTCACAGGACTCACCTGCACATGAGCAGCGATTGTGGATATGAAATGCCATGTCAGGATCACGGCCACACAAGCAGCCTTTCTCGAAACAGGCCTTGGGTGGGGAGCTGAGTCTGGCACATTGAGAACCCTTTCCAGCCCTGGAGTGCAGTCTTCCTCCCGAGAGTCTGCCCAGCTCTCCCTGGGAGCCGGGCCTGATGGGACCGTGTGCCCTATCCTTGCAGAGACAGTCCAATGCGTCCCAGACTCTCTGTGACATCATCCGGCTAGGCAGAGAGCAGGGCAGCCAGTTGCCAGAGGCCCCGGAGCCGGACCCCCTCCTCACCGTGCTGGAGTCGTGAGTGCTGGTGCAGGCGGTGGGCTGGCAGGCTTCGGGTTTTCTGCTCCAGGCGCCCTGCTGTGCCTGACGGCTCCTCACTGAGGGTCTGGGAGGGAGGCCCCGTGCCTTCGCCCCGGAGGTGAGTTCCCATGTGTGCACAGGCAGGACTGCGTGGAGCAGCTTCTGAAGAACATGTTTGATGGGGAGCGGACAGAGAGCTGCCTGGTCAGCGGGACGCAGGTGCTGCTAAGCCTGCTGGACACCCGGCGGGCCGGGTGAGCGCCTGGGGGGCCTGGCGAGGGCTCTGGAAGTGTCCCGTGTGCCGTGCACACGTCTGTGCACACACACAAGAGCATGGTGTGTGCAAGTGTGCCTGCACATGTGTGAGCCCATATGTGCTGTCTACACATGTGTGTTGGTCTGTTCACATGTATGTGTTAGTGTGCCTGTACACGTGAGCTTGCATGCATATGCACCCATGTGTGCTGCATGTGTCTGCACATGTTTTCGTGGGTGCTTTGTGATCATGCCTGCAGCTTGACTGTACGAGGGCACCCAGTCTTGGCAGAGGAAGGTCTTCGCAAGCTGATCAGCTCCCTCCTGCCTCCCGCGTGGGCACTCCGTGAAGGCCAGCCCCAGAGCCTGGCGGGAAGTGTGCCTGGACTTGTACTCTGCTGTCGAGCCACATGCTTAGCCTGGGAAGGAGAAAATAAATGATAAAAAATGGAGTCAATATCTAGAGCGAGTTATCGTTTCGCTCCTCCCCATGGCACCCAACATATGTTTATTAGCTGGTTACCTGCAGACAGAATCACGTCACACTTATTTTCTCTAGTTAGCTGGTCACATGTGGGGTTTTGTTTGTTGGTTTTTTGTTTTGCCACACTGGTGGTGCTCACACCGGGTCACTCCTGGCTCTGTACTCAGGAATTACTCCAGGTGGTGTCAGGGGTTCAGACCCAGGTCAGGGTCAGCCATGTGCAAGGCAAACACCCTCCCCGCTGTATTTTCTCTCTGGCCCCAGGATTTGGGTTTTCATCCTGCCTGGCATGAGGGGACGCAGACTGAGAAGGCAGTGAAGGGCCAGCTCAGCTTTGCTTTTCTGTGTCTAAGTGTTATCTGTAATGGTTTTGGCTGACCTGTAGAATGGGGGCCAGCAGCCATGAGGGCCGGCCCTGCTTCCTTCCGGGGCAGAGGAGCCCCTGTCAGCACCTGCTTGCGCCACCTCCCCCGCACAACCCCGTCCCCATCCCCCTCCCCAGCCCCAACCAGCATGCGGCTGAGGCCCTGATGGTCCCTGAGCAGGTTCCTGGGAATGGGGGGGCGTTTGACTCGGCTGCTGAAGGAGTGTTGGGGAGCAGGTGTAGCCCTGGCACTCTGTGCGGCATCTCTATCTGCCCCTCGCCCACAGGGCAGACGGCCTGCTGGACTGCTTTCCTCAGGGACTGGAGCGGCCACCAGGCACTGTCAGCGGGGGGGTGCTGCATGGCATTGAGCCGCGGCTGAAGGACTTCCACCAGCTGCTGCTCAGCCCGCCAAAGGTATGGGCCTGGCCACCTGGGGGCTCCTGGGGTGAGGGCGGGTGGCAGACACCCCTCCTGCAGGCTTCAGACCCTCTCCCAGAAGTTTAGCTTGGGTGCTTCCCCGGGTGCCTCTGGTCCTCTGAAGTAGGCCTGGTCCCAGCCTAACACTCTAGCCCTCGTGCTGGGAGGAGGCAGGGGGACCCAAGCCAATTACTAGTTCACCTTCCTCATGGCTAGCTCCATGAGAAAGCTTTGTGAAGGCAGGGGTTCTGGAATGTTCTCTTAGTGCAAAGGAGTGTAAGTGTGGGGAGCATAGCACTCTGCTTCTGGGTGTCTGACATGGCCAGCTCTAGCTTCAGCTCCCTACGGGAGTGTCCCCAGCAGTGTCCCTCAGGGCACTGTCCTTTGAGACCTTGCATCCTCTTCTCTTCTGTTTTTCATGGCTTGGGGGCCACGCTTGCGGGTGCTCAGGGCTCCTCATGGATTGGTACTTGGGACGGAGTCCACCACCACCCAGGCAAAGCACCTGCTCTTACCCTTTGAGCCCCCTCTTGGCCCTCTCCTTCCTCCCCTGGCAGTGTGTCATACTCTGCTTGCAGAAATCAGCCATCCTGACCACCATCGGCGTGCTGGAGGAGCCCCTGGGGAATGCCCGTCTGCACGGCGCCCGCCTCATGGCTGCACTCCTGCACACTGACACACCCAGCATCCACCGGGAGCTCTGCCGACTCAACACCATGGGTCTGCTGCTGGTGAGTGCCCACATCAGCACTGCCTGGAGGCTGGGACAGCAGCAGCTTCATGGCGCTCTGTCTGGGGTTTTGTTTGTTTTGGTCACACCCAGCGATGCTCAGGGCTTGCTCCTGGCTGAGCTCAGCGGACCATATGGGCATATGGGGTGCCTGGGATTGTATCTCGGTCAGTTGCCTGCAGGCGCCCTCCCCGCTGTGTTGTATCTCTAGCCCCAGCAGAGGTCTCTAGAGAGGCTCCGTGCAGGCCACGGAGTAGTGTGTATCTACAGAGCGGCCCTTCCTGGGGCCGTGGCTGGGCACATAGGTCCCAGGAGTCTGATGAGCTCACTGTGGGCACCTGATGAGGCAGTGGCTTCGAAAGAACGACCTGAGCAGAAGGCAAGGCTCTGTCTAGGGGCCAGGGCCGAGGGTCCGTCTTGTCCTGATGTGCTTGCCTTCAGGGTCGACAGGAATTACCTCAGTGCTGACAGGACCCTCGATGTGCAGTGGGGTCCATACAGGCTCTCCCAGAAGCTTCCTGAGGCTGAAGAGCTTCTGAGCCCGTGTTGAAACTGGACCAGGAGTCTGGCTGCCTCAGAAGCTCTTCTGGTTTTGAAAGCCGTCAGACCTGGGAATGGGTGTGGGACAGGAATTCTCCAGGGCCGCAGATGTGGTTCAGGGGTAAAGCAGTTGCCTGGCCTGTGTAAAGGCCAGGATTTGATTCCCAGCACTGATAAAGAGGGCAGGGTTGGGAGGGAGAGGCACAGGTGGAGTGCAGATACAGCCTACAGCCGGTAGGGTGCTTGCCTTGCACACGGCCAGCCCTGATTGAATTCCCGGCATTGCTTATGGGGTCCTGAGCCCCACAGGAGTGATCCCTGAACAACAACGACAACAACAAAAATGCAAAGTGCAAAACAAAACAAGCATAGCCTCAGAAACCAAAAACATAGGAAAGAAAGAAATTCTCCTGCAGGGCTGGAGATGCATGAGACCCAGGGTTCAGTCCCTGACACTGCAAGACACAAGTGAATGAAGTGAGCAGCTTTGCCAGAGGGCTCAGAGCTGCCACAAGTCCAAGGTATGATCCTTGTGTCATGTGGGTTTTGCCTGGTGATCCCCACTCTCCTGGGAAGACCCACCCTTGAGAACAGAACATTTTTCCTGCTACCCTGACACTTCCAGTTAATCAGTTTATATGTTATTTAGTTCTTTGCAGCACACCATGGGGCTGGGGGCTCCTCCTGGCTCTGAGCTTAGGGGTCACTCCCAAGTGGTGCTTTGGGATGAGGGTCAGAGCTGGCCTTCATACAGAGTATGCACTCAGCTTGCCACGTTCTTTCCATGACCCATCACTTTGATCTTTTTGTGGTAAACTACATGCTCATATATACCTCAATCATAAGTGCTTTTTTAGTTTGGTGACAATGTTGTATGATTTGCACCACTTTTTTGTTTGCTTGTTCATGGACCATACTCAGTGGAGCTCAGGGATCACTCCTGGTGGGTGCTGGAATTGAACCCTGGTCAGTTGTATGTATAGCACATGCCCTGCCTACCATACTATCTCTGGCCCCTAACCATCACTGCTTTTTCCAGAACTTTTTTATTTTCTCAAGCAAATTCTGTCAGTGGCCATCCATTCCCCTGCTCCACCCTACACTGTGTCTGAATCTGGCTGGCACCTTCCTGGAATGAAGTCAGCCTTTGCCCCGTTCACTGGCTCATGCTGCTGTGTGGGTCCCTTGGGTTCTTCTTGCAGTGTCAGCCATTAGAGTTTCCTTCTTTTGTTGGTTTTCTGTTCATGGTGACATTCTCTGAGCACAGAGCTTGGGGCGGGGCACTTGGTACCAGGGCTCAAACCTGGGGCTCCCACGTGCAAAGCCTGCACTCAGCCACACGAGGCATTGCTCCAGCCACCGGTTTCTGCAGATGAGCAGCACTGGAGGGAGCTCAGGGGCTAACAGGCTGGGCGCATGCTCCATGTGCAGGAGGCCACTACCACCTCCACGCTGCAGGGCTGCCAGGCACCGCTGAGTGCAACCAGGCACTGCCGGTATGGCCCAGATGTGCTGTTGTGTTTTTTCTTGTTTTGGGGTAGTCACATCTGCCAGTGCTCAAGCTACTCCTGACTTTGTCCTCAGGGACCACTCCTGGTGGGGCTTAGGCGACCATTTGGGGTGCCGTGAATCAAACCTGGGTTGGCCCTGTGCAAAGCCATCCCCCTCCCCCTGTGCTTTCTGTCCGGCCCTGGCCAGATGTGCTTTGTGCCCACAGTGCAGTTTTCTGTGTGGTCTCCCGGACACCTGTCTGCAGCCCTGTGTCACTGCTGTGCTAGAATGGAGTGGTCATGTGGCGCCCAACTCTGTGGTGATGTGGTCGCTGGGCTGTTCTGGGTCTGGGTGTGCACATGATGGACTGCCTTGTGTCCAGGACCTGTTCTTCAAGTACAGCTGGAACAACTTCCTGCACTTCCAAGTGGAGCTCTGCGTTGCCGCCATCCTCTCCCGCACCGCCTCCGACAGTAGGGTGGAAGCTGCCGGGCCCAACGGCGTGGCAGAGCTGCCAGAGACCCCCCAACCTGCTGCCAGTCACCCCGAGGAGCACACGATGGTGACCCATGTAAGCTCCCGAGGATCAGGGTTGGGAGCTGCTTGGTCCAGAACTGGTCACATGTGTGTGACTGTCCCTCCTCCTGGAAATTTTCCAGCCTGAAGGCCAGACAGGTGAAGCTTCCTTCTGCCCACAGCCTGGCAGCAGGACACATGGACGGGCAGTAGCAGGAGCCTGGGTTGCTCTGAGGGGGCTCAGAGGCCAGGGGACCTTCCCTATGGGCAGACAGCAGGAAGTGCCAGTGGTGATAGCCATTCAAGGTGGACAGTACATGGGGCTCAGAAGTGAGCACCTGATTCTAGGCAGTCTGGGTCACAGATGAACTTGGGGGCCGGGGAGCGTGGAGAGCCCTGAGGCAGCCTCTGAGTGCTGACCGTTGGGCTACTACAGCACCCCTGCCCTCCCCCGGGCACCTGCAGACCCTCCCGTCCTCTCCCCTAGCTGTTCGAGCAGTGCTGCCTGGTGCAGCGGATCCTGGAGGCCTGGGAAGCCAACGACCACACCCAGTAAGAGCCGCAAGGGCGGTGGGGGGCTGTTTGCTTCCAGGGCAGACCCTTTCCCAAGCATTTCTCTCTGCGGCCCTACGCCCGCAGGTCCCTTCACCACTGCTGCCCCATAGAAGGGATGGACTTGGCTTCTCCCAGTGGGCCTTGAGGTCTGGATATTGTCGACATTTGTGGGCACCTGTGCCATCCAGGGGCGGGTTCCAGGAGACACAGCCTAGTCTCCTAGCAGACGCAGGGCCATGGCCCATGGCAGGAGGGTCCCCACTGCACCCAGCTCTGCCTTTGCCCTCAGGCTGTACAGGGTCAGGGTTGAGACTAGGGATCTCTGACCTGAGGGACTATCTGTCCTTTGGGATTCGGTGGACCCAGTGTCCCACTCCCAGGACCACTGTGAGGGCTTCTGGGAGCAACTCCCTCACCCCTGCCTCCTGTGCGGAGTCACCAGCCCTGGAGGCTGCCTGCCTGGGCTGTGCCCACAGCTGAGGCATGTGCAGCCGCCGGCTTCAGAGACCTTCCTTCCAGGGCCGCAGGGGGCCGGAGGTGTGGAAACATGGGCCACCTGACACGCATTGCCAATGCTGTGGCACAGAGCCTGGAGAGGGGCCCCGTGCAGGGCCACGTCAGCGAGGCCATCCGAGGTGAGCCTAGACCCTCCCCAACCGCCCCGTGCCAGGTGCTGCGCATACACTCGAGTTTGGCCCACCGCAGCTTCTCCGCCCCTCCAGGCCTGGGCCCTTGGGTACCTGCTCCCGTCCTCCGGGAGGACGGAGAGTGTCTGGGTTCACGAGGGTAGATGCCAAGAGGCTAGGGGCAGAGCCACTGTAGCCTCAGCCTTGGGGGCCTCTGGCGGGGAGATGTCAGGAAGGAAAGGGTGCCCATCACTTGGGCCCAAGTCTTGCCCTGTTCCTGGCCTTGCTCACCGGCTCAGGTGTCCAAGCTCCTTGTCTGGGGCCCAGTGCTTTCCCCGGGCTCACCCTCCGCCCCCACAGGGCTCCCCGAGGATTGCCGTGGGCGCTGGGAAAGCTTCGTGGAAGAGACGCTGACGGAGACGAACCGCAGGAACGCAGTGGACCTGGTGAGCCTGCGGAGCCCTGCCGCGGGGACACTGGCCCTGCAGAGCCGCTGCTGCACATCCCCCGTCTCTGCAGGAGCCCAACCTGCTCCAGGGAGGGGTGGGCGGCATGTCCAGGGCTCTAGGCTCACGCCCACCGCTGTGGCCTTTCCAGGTCAGCACCCACCACCTGCACCCCTCGAGTGAGGATGAGGACATGGAGGGCGCGTTCCCTAACGAGCTGTCTCTGCAGCAGGTGCGTGCGCTGCACCCCGCACCCGGCCCTCCGGCCCCCGCAGCGCAGAGACCAGCTCTTGGGCCTGCCGCAGGGGCAGCCCCATGCACCCTCTCCTGGAGGCCCCCGCTCTTAGACAGTCAGCACTGGGGGCGCCCCCGGGCCTAGGAGCCAGGCTGAGGGTGTCACCCACTGTGCCCACAGGCGTTCTCTGAATACCAGCTCCAGCAGATGACCGCCACCTTCGTGGACCAGTTTGGTTTCAACGATGAGGAATTTGCTGACCAGGACGACAGTGTCAAGTGAGCTCGAGGGAAGCTTCTGCACGTGGCATCCGCCGCTTGGGATGCCCCGGCCCCCGGCTGTGGAGTGGCCAGCTCCCTCACTTTCTGCCCAAGAGGTGTCCCTGCCATGGGTGTCCCAGTAGCTGGGCATCCACGTTTCCTCAGCCAGAAGCCTGAGAAGCAGGCGGGCCCCCGAGCCAAACAGAACTTACAAGGCAGAGCTCTGAGGGGGGCCAGGAACTGGGCTGGGCTGCCCAATGGCCCCCAGACTTTGAGAGGATGCTGTGACAGGGACCCTGGTGGTACCTCCCGTGTTTTGCAGGAGGGCCTGTTTGCTCCCTCTCGGTCCACACATACTCCCAGCCAAGTTCTTGGCACATCCCAAGACAATGTCCCTGGCTTCAAGGGGGGACTGGGCCCCCTCCACTGGAGGGCCTGGTACCGTGGGCAGGTTCTCAGCATCCCCATCTCTGTTCTCGTAGCGCCCCTTTCGACAGGATCGCAGAGATCAACTTCCACATCGATGCTGACGAGGACACTGTGAGTGGTCTCAACCCTGGGCCTCCCCAAGGCAGTGGGGGAGGACCTGGCTGGGGAGGGGGTGCGGGTCTGGTTGGAGGGAGCCAGTCCTGGCTGGGGATACCTTCTTAGCTGTGGGGACCCAGGTCCGGGCTGCCCGCCCCAAAAGCCTGCATTGGCTGTACAGCCCAGTGCAGCCCTGTTTGAAGCCTGCTGTGGTGACCACATCCAGCCCTTTGACGATGACGAGGACGACATCTGGGAGGACAAGGATGCACACTGCACCACCCGGGTGACTGCCAGAGCCAGGTGGGCGCCCACTCTGCCTGCTCCAGCAGTGAGCACCCCGTGCAGAGCCCCTGTCCCCAGGGACTGGGGGCTGCTCTGATCTGTGTGCATGTCCCCCAGGTTCGGGGCTCCTCATGCCTCTGAGAGTTGCCCCAGGAATGGCCCCGAGCATGGTGGCCGTGACAGGAAGGAGGGCACAGACGCAGGCACTCCTGCCAGCCCCGGCCCAGAAGGCCCCCGTACACAGAACAGCTCCGAAGGTAGATACTCGCGTCAGGGGTGACAAGGGTCTCGGGTGGGGAACAGGACAGGGTCAGTGCCTTGACAGCCCCAGCTGCACCGGCTTTGAGCTGGAGTGACCTTTGCCCAGAGGCAGCAGTGCAGACGGTGGCAGGTCCCTGGGGCTGGGGGCTGCGGCAAGGTCCAAGGGTCTCAGCTGGTGGCTGCACCCTGCAGGTGCCATCTGGGCAGCGTCAGAGGAGCCGGGGAATGCAGCAGCACCAGCCTCAGGGGTGGCGATGGACGTGGGCTCCAGCGTGTGGGCAGCCGGCACCCCCAGTGCCTCTGCCCCAGAGGAGAAAGGCTGGGCCACGTTCACTGACTTCCAGCCTTTCTGCTGGTAAGCACCATGCGCTGGGCACATTGCCCGCCTGGGCTGTTCCACACCAGACCCTCCTGACTCACCCTGTTCCACCTCGCCCACAGCTCCGAGGCAGGGCCCAGGTGCAGCTCCCCGGTGGGCACGGGCAGTGTGGACGTCCAGGGGGGCCTGAAGCAAGGCCCTGAGAGCACATGTGAGTAGTGGGAGGAGCCCAGGGCAGGGGTGAGGGGGTCCTCCCGAGACCCTCCAGGTGCTGAACCAGAACCCAGCTTGGGGCCCCTGGGGTGACCGAGGCCAAGCCTCTGCCTCTGCACACACACGTGTGTATTATGTGCTGGGCAGCAGCGGGACCTCATGGGCTGAGGGGCTGCCCCACAAGACCCGCCACTGTCATGTCTGCACCCCACCCCGTCTCACAGCTGGCCCAGCCGCCCCCTGTGCCTGGAACGCCTGCGTGACCATGACAGCCCCCCCGGTGGCTCCTGCCAGTGACCAGAGTGAGCAGGTGGCTGGTGCATCAGAAGCTGTCAGTGTGGGGCCCAGCCGAGAGGCACCCCCCCTGCCCTCGGCACTGCCCAGGTGCGTGGGATGCCCAGTGGCTATGCTCCCCTGGAGGGGCCCTGACCCTCGGGCCACTTGGTCTTGGTCTTGATCTCAGGGCTGTGTTTGGGGCAGCTGTACCACAGAAGTGGGGCTGGGCCAGACCCTCCCTTGGGGACACGGAGCAAGTGACTGACAGGAGCAGCAAGTGTGGCCTCCCTCCTTGAAAGACCCCATGTCCTAGCTCAGACTGTCCCCTGCCCCAGATCTGTAGCACAGGTCGAGGTCCCCTCAATATTTTCAGGCTCCTGCTGAAAGGAAACAGAAGCATGTGGTCAGGGCCCTCGGGGAGCAGGTTCTGAGCAGATGGAATTGGAAAACCTTGTTCTTTGCCAGGGCATCAGCAGACCCCTCGCAGGCTGGGAGCGCCGCTGGTCTGTCCCCACACCAGCCTCCTTGTGACCTTCCCAGGTGCGCAGCTCTGTGCAGGGCAGTGCCAGGGTGGACCTGACAGCACAGAGCAGCAGCAGCACCGGGCTGAGCTTGGCTGCTGGGGTACTTGAGGGCCGTGCTCTGAACAGACGCCATCTGAGGGTGGCGTCACCTGGGCTGTCTCCAGCATGTTCAGAATTCGGGGTCACAGCTGCCTGGACGGTGTGCACCAGGGCGGCCTCCCTGACCACCACCTCTCACACACAGGACTGAGTCTGCCACCAGCAGGTCACCAGACCCCACCTCGGCAGCACCTGAAGAAGCCACCTCCATACCAGTCGTGGCTGCCTCCCCTGAGACCCCGACAGCGGCCGCCACAGCACTGAGCAAGGCTGGCCTGGGCTCGATGCCCCCAGCTGTCCCTCCTGCACCCGTGCTGGGAACCACCCCAGCCACCGCCACGGGGGCCACCCAGGGGACAGTGACAAAGGATGGGTGAGTGGGGCAGACCAGGGGAGCCGAGGGAGACACCACGGACCTGGAGCAACTCCAACCCCGAGCCCACCCCTTCTCTGCAGGAAGCTGGATGGGACACCGTCTGCAGGAGCCGCCTTAAAGGGCCCCGTCTGACACTGCTGCCCGGCCGCAGCCCTGAACCGAGAAACTACCTGGTGATGCGATTTGTCTTTTTAATTTAACTTAATTTAATTTAAAAATAAATGCTGCATTGGTAAAGCTGCCAGTTGGAACCAGTGGGACAGCCCAGCTTTCGTCTCCCGACCGGCCGTGTGGGCCTCGGGGCCCCCCACCCTCACCCCACCCCCAGCAATAAGGCCCGAGCTGTGCGTGCTGCTGCGGAGTGGGGCGGCGAGACACGGAAACTGGCAGGTGGGACACCACGGCGCCCAGCCTGTTTCTACCCTTTTCTGTCAAACACAGGAAGAACCACGTGTCTGCACTTTGTGTCCAGCCCCAGGGATGGTCTCCAGCTCTGGGGACAGACGCTGGTCAGGAGCCGCACGGCCAGGAAGGGTCCTAACTGCCCAGTGGCCCTGGGAGCTGGCCTCCAGCTAGGCTGCAGAATTCGACTGCCTTAAAAAACAGACCCGCGGCCGGTTGCCCCCACCCCGCCCCACTGCCGGGCGGGAGCTGGCCACAGCTGGTTCAGAAGGGGGGTGAGCAGTGCTGGGGGCCAGGGGCTGGCTGGCACAAGAGCCCATTTTCAATGTTCTGATAATCATGTGCAGGGCCCGGCCCCTGCCCCCCAATAAAGCTGTGTCACTCTCACTCCACCGTGTGTCAGTCTGGACCCCGCCCCCAGGAAGGTCAGCTGCTCAGGGCCTCAGAGCTGCTCTCCGAAAGCAGCTCAGCCTGGAGCGCAGGAGTCCAACCTGTGAAGCCAGGGCTGTCCCCGAGGGCCACCCCAGCCTCTGTCCCTGCAGAGCACAGTCACCCTCCTCTGGCACCTCCCTTCCTTGCTAGGGCCACCCGCTTCCTGCCTCTTCCTCCCAGGTCTGCGGGGGGTGGCGGCGGACAGCGAGGCAGGCGTGTAGCACGATTCCTTCTCTTTATAGACTCTGGTTCTAGGAGCGGGGCCTGGGGCCGGCCGGCCAGGGCCAGCGTGTGGACGGGCAGGCAGAAGTGGACTATTTACAGACCCACCACGAGGGCTGTACCATGGCCGGCCCTCAGCCATGACTCCAAAGTAGGTTAGAGCCGGCAGGTGGGGGGGAGGGGGGCTGTACACACATTTGGGGGTAGGGGGCCTCAATACTGTCGAGGGGGTCTGTAAACATGGCCGGGGGGCCCTGCCCACCCCTAGTGGTCTAGACCGACAGCACAGCAAAGTGCTCAGGCGTCAGACAGGCAGCCCTGGATCTGGTCCACCCACTGCTGGGCCGTCAGCACGTCCTGGGCACAGAAGTTGTAAACGCGGCGCGTCGTCTTCACCTGGAGATAGGGAGGTGCTGACTCCAGCGTCCCCCCTCAACAGCCCCGGCCCCCACCACCACCCAATAGGAGCTCACGTCAAAGAAGGCCTTCTCGTCCACGGTCTTGGGGGCGCCCATGGTGGGTGTGCCTGGCACCACAGCCTCCACCTCGGCCAGGTCGATGATGCCTTTGCACTCAGTGTCCACGCGATGGTCGTAGTAGCGCAGCTGTGGGGACAGGAGGTCAGGGCGGTCCCTCTCCGCTGTGGGCCCCCCACTCCGCCCTCTGCCACTCACCTGGTGCTTGGTTTTATCCAGCACGAACCAGCGAGCCTTCCAGGGCTTCATGAAGGCCCCCTTCTTGTAGAGGGTGCCCTCGTAGGACCTGCGGGGAGGTGAGTATGGCAGTGGTCACTGGACCCTGCCATGGCCTCCCCCCACAGACACTCTGCAGCTTGAGCGGAGCTGGCACCTGTTCTCACTCTCGGCTGTCTGGAACTGGCTGTACAAGGTGCTGGTGCTGCGGCGGGCTGCCTGGCGGGAGCCCGAGGCTGTGGAGCCACTGCTCTGGTCACTGTCCAGACTGAGGCTCAAGGTAGAACCCACTGGTCCCTCCTGCAGGTACACGCCCAGCGAGCGGCGGTGGTGGGGCACACTGGACACGAGCAGAGAGCTGGGGGTGCCCTGGGATGGGGACAGGAGGCCCATGTCAGGGCCAAGGCCTTGTCTTCTGACCACCGGCCCACCCAGTCCCACACCCCTCCTCACTCACACGGCCTTCAGGCCGGCCCTCAAGGCGCTGCGAGGCCTTCACCCTGTCCCACGTGTCCTTCCAGCGCTCGGCAGGCCGGCCCAGCTCCGTCTCCAGCCTCTGCAGCTCCTATGGGGAGAGAGGACGACTCACAGTCAAGGATGGCCAGAGGCAGGTCCAGGGACACAGCAGCTTCACCCGTAGCAAGAGGCGCCAACAGCTCAGGAAGTGCCACAGGGCCGTGGTCAGGGCAGCGGGTAAGTGTGGGCTTTCTCGAAGCCCACCTGGGCTTGTCAGGCACCGTACAGGGTCCCCCGAGCACTGCCAGGAGTCCCAGAATACCATTCATGTGCTCAGAAAATCAAAACCTGGGATGGGGGGGAGGAGGGGGCGGCGGAAATAGTGCCACAAACCCCAAGCAGGATGAAACAAACACAGGCCCCACGGTACTCTAGAGAGACAGACACGACCCCAACCAGCCGGCAGAGGTGCAGCAGGTGCCGAGACACACCTGAACACTCCTGGGTGCAGCCACAGAACCCATCACCACCCCAACCCACAGTGGGGAGGCCAAACACACCACCAGCTCTACCTCAGTGTGGACATGCTGCTGTCACAGAAACCAGTAGGAACACACTGACACCCGCTAAGTTGAACTAGGGAGTCATCCCTGTCACCCCAACTTGCCGTTCTGCCCTGGCATTTGTTGCCACAGACCTGTCACTCCAGCTCTGTCACCTCAGACCCAGCCACCACCCCTGTCACGTTACCTCCACTGTCACCTGTCATCCAGGCATTATCCTACCCCATCACCACAGCTCTCTATTCAGCCAGAGCCAAAGTTGTTCCCAGAAATGTCAGAAGTGGGCCTGGGTCTCCTGTGTCTTTCTGGGGGGGGGGGGGGGGGGGGTGTTAATGTGCTAGACAAGAGGCCCCAAGGGTCGGCAGAGTGCAGCTGGGTCCATCCTCAGATCACCCGGTGTGTGTGATGGAAGGTCCCCAAGAGCCAAACAAACCCTGCAAACATCAGAGGGTGACCCAGCACTGGGCTGCAAAGAGCCTGGAGAAGCCCTGGCCCCATTCTTGATCATCTTGCAAGACAAGGGAAAGAAATCCTGCCCTTCAGCCCCATCACAACAGAAGCTGCCACCATGACAGGACTGACTAGTCTCAACACAAAGGTCCCCCGAAGGAGCCAGGCTGCAGCTGCGACAGGTGAGGACACTCCTCAGAACTTAAGCAACAGAGAGGAGCAAAGGGGCTGAAAGCTGCCTGTGTGCTGCCAACCGCAGTTAGCTCGAAACTGGCACTATGCACAATCCCCTGGGCACGTAATGGGTCCAGCAGCCGAAGAAACCTGACCGGAGGGAAAAAACCCAAGGCTAGTGAGAAGCTCGGAGTGTGATGTGGCCCAGTGGTAAAGCATACATACCCTGCATATATGTGACCTAAGTTCAAGCCCTGGCTTTGAAAATTGGATGGGGGGGGGAACGTTCCATTCCACAGTGCCCATAGTCTTCTCACAACGCGAAAGCCTCTGGCCAAGGAAGGTTAGGTACAGAGTGAGAATGGCCAACACCACACGCATGAAGCACCTCTCACCCGAGGGAAGCCTGCACTCCAGACAAGGAAAAGTCTCAAAGACCAAAGAGGAATGAATGAGCACCTCAAATGCAGTTAGCGGAACAGGCTGTACGATCCACGGTCAAACTAGCACCTTGGGAGCTCGAGTGCAGACTCGGTGGGGCTGGGAACATCAGGCAGGCGAACTTGGGCAAGGCCATGGGCGAGACGCAGGGCCCACATGAGCTGCCCACAGCAAGACATTTATGAGCTTCACAGAACGGGGCACCTCAGTGAGCAGCATGACAGAAAAAGTGTAAAAGCTGCCGTGGCTGGGGACAAGACTCAGGACAGAGCACTGGCCTTGCACGTGTCAGGTGCCTGGATTGATCCCACAGAACTTGGCCACCCTGAGCACAGCCTGGGGCCTCCACTAAGGGCACGAGGCCTGGCCAGCACCACGGCTTGGTGCACCATCTCTGGGGGGCCCACAACGGGCACGGGCACCCCTACATCGCAATATCAGCCACCACGAAGGGATGGGGAACGTGGGTGGCCATGACTGTCCCTCTGACGGTCTCAGAGCTCTTGAGTCATCAGGACCGTGGGGGCTGGGAACAGCTGCTCTGTTGCCCTCGCAGTCAACTACAAAGCCGGGGCCCGAGGCCTCAGAGCCCAGGGGAGAGAAGGTAACCTGCATCCACCCCAGCAGCCGGAAGAGCCTGGTTCCTGAGGGCAGAGAGACAGGCCCACCAAGGATAGCAGAGGCTCATGTGCAAAGATACACACACATGCGTGCGCACACACACCAGGTGTCTGCACTGACACCTCTGCCTGAGGGAAGGAAGCCCTGACTAGCCATCAGACTAGATGGCTAGAATAGGCAACAAGGCAGAGGCACTCCTGGGATTCCTACAGGGCTCGCAGCCGCCATGACGAAGAGCACATATGCCCCAATGGCCTCAGCTCACCATGGCCTGCAGACATGACAGGTGCAGACTAGGCCACTGGGAGCAGCAGGGCCGGAAGTAGTAACCAAACACAAGCCTGTGCACAGGACTACACACACCTGCACACACACCTATACATCTGTATTCATGCACACATGGCTGCACCCATGTGCACATACCTATACATGCCTGTACCCATGCATGCACATCTGCACACGTGCCCATGCTGGCACACCCCAGCCATGCACCCACACGCGTGCGTGCACCCGAACCAGTATACACACACCCACACCCATGTATGCACATGCGCACACCAATACCCATGCAGGCATACCTGTACCCATGCACGCACACCGGGATCCATGTACTCACCCATACCCACGCACACATACCCGCACTCGTGCACACACATCTATACCCAAGCACACACTAGCACGCAACCTGTACCTTATGCGCAAGCACACTTGCACCCATGCACACACACCCGCGCCTGGCCACGCACCTGTACCCATGCACCGATACCTACACCCACACGCACATGCC